TTTGAATATAGTTTACATTGGCACTAATATCGATTTTGTCATCAGCAAATTAAAACATAACTAAATTTGTATTATTTTCAAACGGGATGTATAAAGACACACCCACGTTTATTTTGATCTATAAAGAGATTAACTCCTAATTAACTAGCCTACTGCCTGTCGATACATTTATTTTTAGCATTGCACAAGTCATGTCTTCTTTGACTGTCCATGACGTTAAAATACTAAATCCCTGGGATGTGTTTTAGTTGATTGTAGTCTCAGATTCATGATTTTTTAATATTAATAGTTTTTGGCTTTTAACTAGCTGTCAGTAACTGCGAGTACTCTCAAATCGTACTTTCTTGTTTATGACCTGTTGATACTAATTATAATGCTTTTTTGTTATATAATGTTATTCATGGTTATATCTGGTCTATATACCAGCTTTGATAAGTGTTTGGTATTACTATAAATTTTCACTTCTTCGTACTATGAACATCAAAAATTATTTATTTTGTAAAAATATTTCCTTTCTCTATTTGAACTGTACACGTATACATAACAACAAAATTATTTTTTTTACCTGTGTTTAAAGTGATTGCAAATGGCTGATATTTTTGTTCAAGTATATTGTTTTTCTTAAATTGTTTAACATTTCACAGCGGTATAACAGGTTACTTTAATTATTCTTCCCTTAGTTTATTTCTTTTGTATTTGCATTGTATCATATATCAAATTATTTGTTCAGTGTATGTTCACTGGTGTTAATATGTCTTTTGATTGAGTTAAGCCATTTCAATTGATATTTTATAGTGTGTTTTTCTATGTTGCGATGTTACACTATTGTTTCAGATAAGGATGAAGGTTTGGTACCATTAAAACGTTTAAACCCGCTGCAACTGTTTGCACCTGTCCTAAGTCAGGAATCTGATGTTCAGTAGTTGTCGTTTGTTGATGTGGTTCATAAGTATTTCTCGTTTCTCGTTTTTTATAAAGATAAGACCGTTGGTTTTCCCGTTTGAATGGTTTTACACTGGTAATTTTTGGGGCCCTTTTTAGCTTGCTGTTCGGTGTGAGCCAAGGCTCCCTGTTGAAGACCGTACTTTGACCTATACTGGTTTACTTTTATAAATTTTGACTTGGATGGAGAGTTGTCTCATTGGCACTCATACCACATCTTCTTATATCTATAGATATACTTACCGGAGGTGTGATGAGATGATTGAAGCTGTTAATTTTCTCCTTGATAATATTTATGTACGTTTCGGCAGCAAAGTTTATCGACAGTTGTAGGTATTTCTATAGGCACTGTTTGCGCCCCTTTAATAGCAGACTTGTTGTTGTACTGTTATGAATCACAGTTTATGACCAAAATCAGTTAAGACCCGTCTAAATTGCATTTAATTGATAAATTCAACAATACTTACCGTTATCTTGATGATATTTTTTCGTTAAATATTCAAGAATTTTCTCAATATACTGCCGAAATTTACCCAAAGGAACTTACTTTAAATAAATCAAATTTAAACGGTAACAACTGTCCTTTCCTAGATTTAGATATTTCGGTTTTACACGGGAAACTCCACACTAAAATTTACGACAAAAGGGACGATTTTTCGTTCCCTATTGTTAATTTTCCCTTTTTGGATGGTGATGTTCCTTTGGCACCATCTTACGGTGTTTATATTTCACAACTCGTTCGCTATGCCCATGTCTATTGTGACGTTTTCGATTTTAACGAACGTAATCTATGTATTACCGGTAAATTATTAAGCCAGGGATTTTGTTACCACAAATTACTTAAAACCTTTACTAAATTCTTCCACAAATAAAAAGATTTGGTTTTGAAGTTTGGTTGTAAATGTAGAAAACTTATTTCAAACGGGATTGCACATCCTCATTTTTACGGCAATATTGTTTACCGTGCCCGGAAATTTAGAAACGATCCTGGTAAACACCGATCCTTTAAATAAACTTATTCTAAAAGGTTACCAATTCAACACTGCAATTAGATCATTAAATATTGTTTTTATTGGTACTAATATTGATTTTGTTATCAGTAAATTAAAAGCAAACTAAATATTATTGTTATATACATATACACATTCATGGATCTACAATCTGTCGATACCTGTATCTTGGCATTGCACAAGGTCATGTTTTTCGCTGACTGTTTATGACGTCTTTACACTAAATCCATTGGATGTTGGATATGTACGGATTGATAATTTAGTCTTAGATGCATGATTTTTTTATTAGTTGTTAGTGGCTTTGAACTAGATGTCAGTAACTGCGAGTACTCTCAGATCTGTACTTAGTGTCTTTTTGTTGTTTGGATGTACAAGTACCCGGCCACGTCCACTTGTTTTTGTAGTATTTGTATTTTTATCCATCTGATGAGTTAAGCCTCTTTCAACTGATTTTTATAGTTCGTTCTTATGTTGTACTGTTATACCACTGTCCTAGGTTAGGGGGATGGTTGGGATCCCGCTAACATGTTTAACCCCGCCACATTCTGTATGTATGTGCTGTCCCAAGTCAGGAGCCTGTAATTCAGTGGTTGTCGTTTGTTTATGTGTTACATATTTGTACATAAATTAGGTCGTTAGTTTTCTCGTTTGAATTGTTTTACATTGTCATTTCGGGACCTTTTATAGCTGACTGTGCGGTATGGGCTTTGCTCATTGTTGAGGCCGTACGGTGACCTTTAGTTGTTAATGTCTGTGTCATTTGGTCTCTTGCGGAGAGTTGTTTCATTGGCAATCATACCACATCTTCTTTTTTATATCTACCTGATTTCTTCAAAAATAAAGCTACGCCTGTAATTTCTTAGACTTACACCAAGTCTATTGAATCCAAGAATTTCAACCTCAAGAGGGTTTAGAGACCTTTAACCTCAAAGATGTGAAATCCAAACCTCCGGATTGCTCATGTGCATCGTCACAATAAAATTATAGTCCAGCTGGTCATGTTACTAATGGCGACCTTGGCATTGTTACCAATGAACAACTAAGAGAGTTGTTAGTCAAGGGACCAAAATATAGAAGTCCCCAGCCCATCAACTGGAAAAAGAACTTCAGGTTACAGATGGATGCAGTTGACGAATATGTTAGAAAATGGGTAAAGCGCGAACTAGACGAACCAGAACTGGATACTTTGTCTGAATGGATCAAAGCTGTTCGATCATGCATTCAGAAGCGCATTCAGAATCTACGATGACTATGAGCTCAAGGGTTCTTCACCCTTTCAATAATTAGAGGTTGTTGATGCTTTATCCTCTTTGCATGACAAATATGTCATTGTTCCTGCAGATAAAGCCTCAAATAATATTGTCTTCAAATATATGTAAAAGCTATTGTTTGCAATGTCTCACAACAGAGCTTGGAATAAACAGCACAACTGGTAATCATACATATTCTTTAACATCATTTACAAAGGATGAAATTTTACAAAATCACAAATCTGTCCTTCTTTCTTTTGGTATCAACATCAAAGAAAACGAAGACAATTTACCGTCATTATACTGGATACCAAAACTAAACATATTTCTAAAGTACTGACTACTATTCTTTCTACAGTAAAAGATGGCCTTCAAAAATATAGTGATGAGATATATTCTACCAGTGGTGTTAGTAGATATAAGAAGATGTGGTATTATAGGCCATTATAGGTCAAAGTACGGTCTTCAAAACGGAGCCTTGGCTCACACCGAACAGCAAGCTATAAAGGGCCCCAAAAATTACTAGTGTAAAACCATTCAAACGGAAAACCCAACGGTCTAATCTATATAAAAAACGAGAAACGAGAAACACTTAAGTGGTGTTAACTAGATGACGATTTTCAAAAATTCTAAGGATCTACTGCTCAATCTTAGATCAAAATCTCTTTAATTTTGCAGCAACATTAAGATTTTTGATTTTTCTACGCTTTACACTACTATGCCTCATGCTCAATTGAAAGATCAACTTCACCATCTCATTAAACAGAGCTTTTTCTATAAAAATGGGAATCGTAGATACAAATATCTTTTTTTTGGTTATAATAATTCTTATTTAGTGAAAAACCACACTGAACTTCCAGAACATATACTGAAAGAGGACGAAAGATACCAGAGGGACAGTCAAACTCATAGATCATGAAGATGATATCAAAATGCTGGACTTTTTGATCGACAGTATATTTGTTGAGTTTGGAGGATTGATTTTCAACAGACAGTCGGTATTCAAATGGGATCTAATTGTGCACCCCTACTGGCCGATTTGTTTTTGTACTCGTATGAAGCAGAATTCATTCAGAACCTTCTAAAAGACAGAAAAAAAAAAGCACCTTGTGTAATTCTTTAATTTTACTTTCAGATATATATTGAGGGTGTCCTATCACTGAATAACTCATATTTCAGCCAATTCTTTCTCTCATATATCCCAGTGAACTTGAAACTAAGAATACCACTGATACTAGAAGGACTGCTTCATACCTTGATCTTTTACTTAATATTGACACAGATACCAGCCCAGTACCTGATACCTTTGATAGCCAGTGGCCTCGTGTGTTTTATGCAATTTACACTGTTTAAAATGTAATCATTTGCAGTGGAACTCATGAGTTGCCTTTGCATTCGGTATTTTATTTTATCATGACTAGACTTCTACGGCCAAACTGAAATTTAAAGGATTTAAGAAAAAAAAGTTGATCGAATCTTATGATATTGGAATTTAATGCAATATATCAGTAGCAATACTTTGATATTTCAGAGTATGAGAGAAGTGTTTTTGAATAGAAAATCAATGTTAGTACCGATTAAACAATATATATAAAGAACCTTCAAGAATAACGTTTTTCGCATGTTATTTCTTGCATAAATCAGTCTGATGTTTTCTCGTTTGAATTGTTTTTCATTTCGTCATGCCGGTCCCTATGATCGCAAACTAAACCATGTGGGATTTGCTCATGGGTTGAGACCTTACATAGCTCTAAAGTTGTTTAGATCCTTGTCTATTTTGAAAACATTGATGAACAGCTTTTAATGTTTGACTGTTAAACAATCACAAGGTACTCACATTATCAGTTTGTTCATGTTTCATGTAAAGCATGTAATATAAATTTGCAAACCACATCATCTAAAGTGGGACTGTAATTAAATTGTATGTACAAACACATGTGGTGGTGACCAGTTTCAGTGCGATAATAATCAATGTATAGCAAAAGCTTCAAAATGTGATGGTCTCCAAGACTGTGCAGATAGTTCAGATGAGTCAAATTGTAGTAAGTGTTAATGTTGAATGTTCTCACCAAAAGAAATAAAAACAATACAAGAAAGATATACCTTTATTTTTATCTTTTCGTACTTAAAATAGTATCATTGCTTCTGCTTAATCCTTCAAAAGAAATAACTACAAGAATGAGTTGCCTGTATTCATTCAAAACGTATCCGCACAACGCATATGGTTATTTGCAATTTTGACAAATGCTTTTAAAAAAACATTATCATGATTTTACAGATATAATACAACAATACTTTTAGAACTGATGATTTTCCAAACTATTTGTTATTGAAGAAATGTAGAGAGATCAATGAAAAAGTAAAATTGTCAGTTTTGATTATACTTTTTATTCGTATATAAAAACCTTTTTGATATTGCACGAGCGGGGTTCGAACTCACAACCTCATTGTTGACTAGCTAGTGATTACAATGTAGAACTACTTTGACCACTTGGCCACCGAGGCCCCCAAACCAATTATAGAACCTTACCAATCATGATTACGTTGGAGTGTGCGGCATCTAATAATGTATGCACTTTCAAATTTACACAACGATCTTATCAACCACACTTCTTCTGAAAATACAAAATAATATCCAAATTATATGATGTTTCTTGCTTTGTGTGTTACAATATGAACAACTTATGTTGCAAAATTGAAAGTGATTTGTATTCGTTATTTCAGTAAGAGTATGTACAATTAAAAATCAAAATGATAAACAGTTGGACAGCGGATACCTGGTTAACAATAAGACTCAAAACCAACTGTCATTCTCGAATTTACTTAATTTAAGGAAAATCGTTATTAAAAAAAAACATGTGTTCAAAAACCAAGTCTCTTAAAAACCTATCAAAATTAATATTGCAAACGGAACAAAATATGCACATGATGCAACGGTTTGCTTATTTCATGTGTAATGAGCAATAACTTTCCTAAGCAGCATTGGAAGGAGAAATAAAAATCCAAATTACATGCTCTATATTTCATAGGATTTCTTAGTATTCATTTGATTTAGCGAATATAATATGCTATTAAGTTAAAATACTAAATACAACAAATATTCTTGAATCGATTGAATAGATACAAGAAATTAGGAGATCGCATTTACTCGGATAATGCCTGTACCAAGTCAGGAATATTACAGTTGTTTTCTATATGTTCCGTTGGATAATATAAAATAACGTTTGATTTTGTCAGGTTTTATTGACTTCCCTCTTTGAGGATTTACCCTGGAGTTTAACTTTTTTGTTAAAACTGTTTTCCTGAACATAGTATTTAGATGACCAGCTAATGGATTATGCATTGTCTAACTCAATCGGTATTCTGCTACACGGACTATTTAAAACGTCACCAGTGTCTGAGCAGAAGGTTGATAACCCGGGTTATGTCAAAGAACGTCTCGTCCTTTTTCTAAAAAAGTTGGAAAATACCAAGACCTTGTTGATAAATATTCGGTATCAACTTCACGAATAATACATGTAGGTATTGAAGTATAGATTCTAGAAACTGAATTTGTTTATCATCTGAATTATGTTTGATAGTGTTCTTAAATTTCCTTTGAATAATATCAAAAAATACTGTTTAGTCCATTTTTTTGTAAAATCCTTTTGGCTTTAGGCGTACATCGGTATTCATACATCCCCGTGTTTGAATTATTGTGCACTAGGCATTTTTTGTATTCTTGTCTTTCATGTTTGCTTATGTGCTTTGTCTATTATAATATTTTGTTTTTCTTTGTTGACATGGGGAGGGTTGAGATCTCAAAAAACATGTTTAACCCCGCCGCATTTTTGCGCCTGTCCCAAGTCAGGAGCTTCTGGCCTTTGTTAGTCTGGTATCATTTTTAAGTTTAGTTTCCTGTGTATAATTTGGAGTTTAGTATGACGTCCATTATCACTGAACTAGTATACATATTTGTTTAGGGGCCAGCTGAAGGACGCCTCCGGGTGCGGGATTTTCTCGCTGCATTGAAGACCCACTGGTGGCCTTCGGCTGTTGTCTGCTCTATGGTCGGGTTGTTGTCTCTTTGACACAATCCCCATTTCCATTCACAATTATATAGTTGTTTTTTTTTACTGATAAAGGTTATAATACAATGTTGACTACTGTACCCTAATTTTTACCTGTATTGTCTATATAAAAAAGAAGATGTGCTATGATTGCCAATGGGACAACTCTCCACAAGAGACCAAATGAAACAGAAATTAACAACTATAGGTCACCGTACGGCCCTCAACAATGAGCAAAGCCCTTACCGCATAGTCAGCTATAAAAGGCCCCAAAATGACAAATGCCTGTTTGTTTTGTTCACATTTTGTTGTCAATATCATGTATTTTATGAGACTGCCATACAAGTGAGATGTTTCAGCCCCCATTTTCTACATAAAAAATGCCTGTGCATAGTCAGGAATATGACAGTTTATTTCAAATCGTTGATGCGTTTAAGCTTTCGATTTTACCATTTGATAAGGGACTTAACATTCGGATTTTTCCACGGAGTTTGGTATTTCTTGTATTTTATTTTTTTAATTATAGCTGAAAGTATTAGACATTGTCCAGAGAATCGATTTGATTGTTTTAAAAATGGTTCAAAATGTATTAATTCTAACAAATTATGCGACGGATCAAATGACTGCGAAGGCTCTGAAGATGAGGCATTGGATGTTTGTAATTGTAAATATCATAGTAATAACGGTGAATAAGAATACATTAAACATATTCACAAAAACTGTCAAGTCATGCAACTTGAGGTAGTTTATTAAACAAATAAGAACAATAGTCAATCTGTGCTACATTATTATAGAAAACCTTATATCTTTTTTGATTAAAGTAAATTATGAGTCTCTCATCATCTTTGGATGTTAAAAAACAGAACACAACTGGTATAGATTTTTAATCAATGAGCAAATTTAGGTATGAAATCAATTAATTTGTAAAAGAGAGGCTAACAATACTAAAGGAATATTCAAACTCATGTCGAAAAACGAACTGATAATACCTAGCCACCGATGAAAAACAACAAAAAGTAAAATAACAGTAAAGACACAACACGGAAAACCAAAGACCTAACAACATGATCTCCGATTCTCCAGAAGGGTAAACCAATCCTACTTAATTGTACATGTGGCATTTGTCAAGACTTATTACTTGTATAAACAAAATGATAGGATTTTATCTCATTCTAATTAATGGTGTAACCATAACAGATTTTTTTCATTATCTAAATAAAAACTTAGTCTCAAAAGGAGAGAATTTAAAAGGTAGGTATTTCTTTTTTGTTTTATACCATGAAAAAAAAAATGAATGGCGACCACAAATTGTCTTCGTTATTTCTTAAAGTGTTTTATATGATCTATCAAGATTTCATTATTTAATTTTCTTTCTATTCACATTATAATGTTTTTCCTCGAGAAACCTGTACACACTGTATCAATTTTTCACAGCCTTTTGCGTAAAAGTATAATCTCAATGATCTTTGATTTTTGTTATAATTTCGAAAGTATCACGACATAAACTTAACTTTGGCCAATTTTTAATAAACTCGTCAATAACACATTCTGTAATATTCTTTTCAAACCCTTACACTTCCTTTTAATTCCTCAAAAGGAAATTGAAGAAAAAATTCATAAAAAAGAAGCGAAAGATACCAAATGACAGTTAAACTCGTTATTCTAATATAAAATGACAATGACATGACAACAAACTGAAAACGATCAAAAGACAAACAACAGTATACAAAACAGAACAAATAAAACTAAAGGCTTAGCAACACGAAACAACCAAAACACTAGCGTTGTCTCAGGCGATCCTGAAGGGTATGCAGTTCCTTCTCTACATGTGACACCCGTCGTGTTGGTCATGTAAGTACAAGTCAGTACCAAATCATTGACTAATTGGTTGTTGATAAGCTCTCAAATCGGACAAATATTCTGGTCAACAGACACAACATCTCCAATGAACTCACATCTAACCTCGAATGTGCATTCTGACGAAGTATGAATGTTTTGTCAATATCAAATTCAGAATAAACAGATGTTTTGTCAAAAAATCAAAGTGTAAGTTGAAAAGGCTAGTTCGGTATTATCAAGTATTTGCCTCATAATCAGTCAGTTTACCTAGCTCATAAATTAGTAAAATAAAGTATTTTAGTTGAATAGCATATTTTAGTTAAATAACAGGACATTTCTGATCTTCTAACCTGGTCATGAGAGGGAAAATTAAATACTCATATAGTTTATGATTTGTAGTTAAGGTACTACTGAACATTACACTACTTATTATTTTGTACAGACCCCATTACTAAGTAGCTAATTTGTTTTGATTGAAAATATGTATTCTTGAAACATTATGTTTTTGTTCAGTAAGTTTTAATGATATTAATATAGTAAGATAAAAAAGTTATATTATTCAAACACGTATAAACATTGAGCTGACCTCGCTGGCGAGGTTTTTAAGAAGCCTTAATACTGTAGCACTAGCCTGTCATCATGCTCGACTCCAATCGTAATTGAATATGATTTTCAGTTTTCCTGCCAGAGTTTGGTGGTTCTCTCCGGGCACCCCATTTCCTCAATCAATAAAAAATGACCGCCTCGAAATAGCCAATAGTGTTGACAGCTTCCCTTGTGAAGATGGATGCATAAAGGTCTTTGGGCGCAACTAACTTTTGATGTGATATATTTTTTTAAATGAAATAAACATACAAACCAATAAACTTTTCTGCACTTAAATTGGCTGCAAATTGGTTAGTTTTAATTCGATATGGATATGATGATGTAAGGTTAAAGCACTGTAATTGCGGTTATACGTTTGTATCTACCTATTAATTAAATGTCTGCATAATATCAGAAAGATTGAGAGATCAGGGGGCTCTCACCATTGCCCTGTGCCCTTTGTCTTAAAATTTTAAGGGAAGCAATAAAATTGTAAGGTTTCTGTATCTGTGATCTATTTCATTGTTTTTACTTTTGATGTGTAAATAGAACAACATGCACCATTCAAGTCGAATTTTTTTATTGTCCATCGAGATATAACTTAGTTTTATCGTGCAAATATCACTTACAACCATTGTTGACTTTGTATATTGTTAGTTCATAGTTGGTAGGAATATGTTGTATGAACACCTCGATCTTTGAAACATAAAAGCAATTATTGTAGGTACAGCTCATCCATGTATGATAAATAATGGGGATTGTGATCATATCTGAAATGAAAATGGGCCAACAAAGGATTTGTGTTCATGCAGAAAAGGATACAAACTGGAGGGGACGACTAGATGTGTTAGTAAGTTCATGAATAAAGGCAACAGTAGTATACCGCTGTTCGAAATTCATAAATCGATTGAGAAAAAAACAAATCCGGGTTACAAACTAAAACTGAGGGAAACACATCAAATATAAGAGGAGAACTACGACACAACAGAAACACAACATTAAAATGTACACACAGAAACGAACTATAATATAACAATGGCCATTTTCCTGACTTGGTACAGGACATTTTAATAAAGAAAAAATGGTGGGTTGAACCTAGTTTTGTGGCTAGCCAAACCTCCCGCTTTTATGGCAATGTTAAATATAACATTAAAAAGACAACATTACATGAGAGGACTACAATACAAATAAATGGGGGAACATATAGGACAGAGACACATACGAATAATAGCTAACAAAAGGTACCAGGTTTAAAATTTAATACGCAAGACGCGCGTTTCATGACCACTTCTTTCATCGAAAAAATACATATGCAGCTATTAAATTAATTTGAGTCTTCAACGGTTACTTTGATCTTAACATAATCTAAACAGTCTGAACAATAAATCATTCAGTCAATATTCTCACTTATACAGTGCGTTTGATTCAGTATTAATCAAACAAGTCGATTGCAGTCGACGTGACTGCTTAGTGTCTTTTCAGACAATTCAGTATAGTGTTTTGATGTGTACAGGAAAATCAAATATTAAACAGCCTAAGCATTGACTGAACAAATCTTAATTTCACCAAAAACAATTATCTGCTAAATTAAATGTATTTTGTCACTAAAATCAGTTTGGAATAGCTTGCATGCTATAGCTATATATCAACTTTTGTTTAAATTTTGTGTAACAGTCCTTTGTAATTTTTTCAGAATAATAAGAAAACATTCGGATCATTGTTTTTTTTTATCATATCTTTCCAGATATTGACGAATGCACAGTGAGCAGTGCTCCCATTTGTTCACAGTTATGTTATGATACACAGGGAACTTATGAATGTGAATGTATTGAAGGCTATAATAAGACCTTCGTAGCCGATATAGCAGGCCCAACAAAATGTAAAGTAAATGGTAAGAGTCAACAGGGAACAAAAAATAATCTCTTTTTACCCAAGGTTTTGAGGTTTTGAGGTCAAAACGATTGAGGCAAATCACTGAGGGTCTAAATAGAATACCTCTTATACTTTGTCATTAGGAATTTCAACCGGACTTTACAATACATTATTATACGAACTAGAAATTTCAGACAAAATATTTCGCTTAAATCACATTGATGCGTGAACAATGGTTAGTAGGTGGAAGGAATCCACGGGAACTTACAATCAACAAGTGGCTGAACTGACCCATCGGAAGTATTTTTGGAATACTTATATTAACGACCAACGGTAAGGAAAGTAAAAATTAAAAAGCCAAACTTTTGGGGAAAAAAACAGCACCAAACGTTAAGATCAGAATAAACTAACAAAGCTAGTTGTAATAGCATATAGCAACAAAAAGAAGGCTTGCTTTTGTTTAGGGAATACAACAAATTAGGATGATGTTGGAAAAGTATTTTCCTTTTAATATTTTATTCTATCTCGTAATCTTCACCGCGTGTATCGGTAATATAGAAGATAGTAAGTGCTAGTCAAAAAAGTACTAACATCAATATCGAATTCAAAGATAAAATTCAAATAGGCAAAGTCAATAAAACCTGAATAAATCGAACACTCCACTAAATCAACCACAAAACGAATCGAAAACAGCTATCAAACTCCTATCGTGGAACAAGCATTTTCCACAGAAAATGATGAGTCCTGGTTTTATAGTTAGCTAAACCTCCCACTTGTATGAAAGTTTTTTTTTTCAACTTCGTTATTTTTTACAAAATTGAATGAACAACCCCAAACAGACACAATTTGTTAACGTGTAACGGTATAAACATACATCACAGACATACAACATAACAGGCTTAAAATTTAAATAAACTTACAAATTAATATGACATAGACACCTCAAACAGTTAAGTAACTAATTGCAATGTCAGATTTTCGTGAGGTAGCTTAAACCTTAGTTTAAAAATGATATATAAAAAATATACAAAGGAACAAATTTGGTTTTTATTAGGGCTGCACAGTACACAATTTAGTGATAAGTTTTCGACAGTTATACACTGTCTGCCAATGACTAATGATTTTCTCGTGATAATCTTTTCGGTCCAAATTTGTTTAGATAAACCATGTTCAAATGAAATATGATTATGAATATGTATCTTATAGGTCCAAGGCCGTGGTTATTACTCGCAAACAAAAACGATATTAGAAAGTTTGAAGTAGATACTTGGTTTGAAGAAACGTTGTTGGGTGGACTATCCAGAACTGTTTCTGTTGATTTTTACAAAGATCAATATGTATATTGGTCAGATTTGTCAATACAACAAATAGCTAGGTATTTATTGATGATCAGTTTCTTTTGATAATGTAATGACGTTTCAAGATTAACTTTTTATAAATTCTAAAAAAAATTGTTTGAATGAATTATTTAACAATTGTACAAACGATGAGGGTAAATGTATTTGGATTTAAAAAAAAAGAAAGTGAACAGTTCTTTTAAATGTATACTTGCGTTACTAGAGAATAATCTTCAAATGGTTGATGTTTTTTATCATTGCGAACTCCATCAAGCACCCATGTGAAAATTATATGTTTATTTTAAAGCTTAGACATATTTTGTTTTTTTTATAATAGGTATGGAAGAAGTTTAAAGATATAGATCCTCTACGCTATATCTACATAATTAAAGGCTGTTGAATAGCAAATCATAGTAAAAAAATATCTGCAGTCGATTAATATACAATTATTGACATTTGATTAGGTTGATACTATAATTTATCAACCTCAGAGATATGATATTCACCGAGGCCAACGACTATTAGACTATTTTTTTATATTAAGACAAGTGTATTGTAATTTAGAAAGACACTTCTTTTTTGTTAGATTTCTATCTCCTTAAAGTATAATATGATTGTTATTAAAAAAGTAGCAGGCGATAAGAACAATTCTAAATCAAAACTCTATTAAACGCTGTTAATTTCTGTGTCATCTGGTCTCTTGTGAATAGTTATCTCATTGGCAGTAGTACCACATCTTTTATATATATATATATTGATGAAAAACATAACAAAACCGAAAGCATATGCATTATACATCACAAAATTCTAAATGGAATTGAAATTGAAAAAACAACATGTACAAATGGCATCTTAATATATGTGAGAAGCTTTAAATGGTCATTATAATCAACGAAGTTGAAAGACAACTTAATTGTTTTGTTAGTAAGCATGGTGTATCTCAAATTTCGGGAGACACTACTTTATTGTTAATTTAATCTGACAGACTCTTGAATTGTAGGAAAACAATTACAGATATTTATAGATTATCGTTGGTCATTTCAACGAGATTGATTTTCTCGCTTGAGCCGGCACGGCGAGATAAGAAAAGCAATCGAGTTGATTTGACCAATGATAATCTGTTTATCGCTATATTACCTATGACGACGTTGTTAATTTCATTGACAACGGGCATGTGCACCCTTAGTTTCTAGCGATCATTTTTCATATCACTCTGTTGTGCTGAGAAAGGAAATTATCAATCAGTCAAAAAAAAAGGAAATATCGTAAAATAACGATAAATTCAAATATTTGCAGATCTGAAATAAAGAATGGTATTATGAGCAAGAAACAAGTAATTGTAAATGAGGATATAGACACACCTGAGGGTATTGCTATAGATTGGATCCATGACCATTTGTACTGGACAGACACTGGACTAAACATTATTCAAGTATCCAATCTCGAAGGCGGTAAAAAAGCAACAATAATTGATAATGATCTAGATGAACCAAGAGGAATCGCTCTAGACCCAATACATGGGTACGTTGTAAATATGTACCTCTTTGAGTAAGAATAAAAATAACATGTTTCAATTCAAAAAGGTTCCAATCAGCTATATATGATAGTTCAATTTCAGTTGAAGATGACTGTCATTCACCTGGATTTTGTATCAGAAAATTGTTCTCCAGTAGTTTTTTTAAATGGTTAAATTCTTTGTTCCCTTTAGTATAGATGAAAACTTTTACTTCTAAAGATTTATTTGATTTCAAGTTTTAATAAATCTATAATCACAGATACTTTTACATGACGGACTGGGGTAAAAACCCAAAGATCGAAAGAATTGGTATGGATGGATCAGACAGAAACATAATTACAAAGGATGTTGGATGGCCTAACGCTATAACTATTGGTGAGTAAATATTATGTTTATACCTGCTAGACAATAGCAGTTATAGAGCTTCTGATAAGGTTTGCACAAAAATGGTGACAACTTTGTTATAAAACTATGATAGTGTTAGCAACATTATTCAATCATCAACGCATTTCCAACTTTGTTTCAGCCGGACAAATATTTCTTTGGATAAAAAAAAAAAACATTTATTGCTTTGTATCGAAAACAAAAATCTACATAAAAAATAACAAAACAGATTTCGTTTTAGTGTTTATAGCCAGGTGTGATAATTCGTTTGTCAATAAATATGTTGGATTTGTTTTCGTATTAATGTTGGTTAAAATATTTTGTGATCAATTTAAATCAAACTAAAGACTTTCAAAAATAACCGTAAATTACAGAGAGGTGGAGGAGACAGTTGCCTCCTGCAACTTTCGGATTAAAAAATATTAATCAAAACAAATTTCTTAAGTCGGACAATATAATAAATATGTATTTTGTGCGCAGTAGCATCAAATACACAATCAGAAAGAAGTTTCATAGAGACAAAAATATAAGAGTTCGTTTATACATCTTATATTTCTTCTTATGACTCTATTATTAAAAAAAACTTATATAAATTTTTCATTAAGCCAATATTTACGCTTAGTTTTGAACGAGAAAATTCACACGGGTACTTGGTTTTGTATGCATATGATGACACTATTATTGATTAATTAGCTTTACAACAAAAGTAACAGAGCTTTTGACATTGGTTCTGAATGAACAAATCATTAAGTAATGCTTATTGCCATGTGAATTTGTAAAGAAAAGAGCAACTTGACGTCTATAATTTACGGAAAAGGTTTAAAGTCATTTCAAAAAGAATTTTCGTATTTTTTGCTAAACTTTGCACATTGGTATAAAGTAGGTTTTTTTTTAAATTTCTACCTTTCAAGTCTCTCAGATTAGTTTCTTTTTGTTTTTTTTATAATACGATTTCTAATTGTTTTTGGTGTTCAGACTATAACGCACACTTAAATTGTTACAAGACATAATTGAATAAAATATGTGACATTGTTATTTTGTTATATTAATCAAAATTGATTAGAAGTCTTCGAAATCAATACACACTATTTGATACTATCTTAAGAGTAATTTGTAGTTCATCAAATATACCATCATGTTCTAAATAAATTGAACAATTTCCCCGACCAAAAGCATATATGTGCCTATGTGTAGGTGTGTTGGGTGTGGGGTGTTAACATGTTTTGTGAGTACCCAATCTGATTTATATATAGACCGCGTATTAATTAGGTCTTATCTACGGCTATGAAATTAAACACTGCATGCAATATTGAAATAGTAACTTGTTTTGTCAATAAGTATCAAAATACATTTCAGTTTTTTCAAATATAGTTTTACTTTTAAATTGAGGCTCATCAAAAGTTTTTTTACAACAGAAAATTTATTCGCGTATATTTATAAGAGAAAAGAATTTAGAAAAATATCACATGTTGAGTTTGGTGGACTGATATTTCGAAGTTGGTAGGTATTCCAATGGATACTTTCTAAGTTTTCACATATCCCGGTAAACTTCTGATCAAGGAATTTACCGAAACAAGAAAGTCTGTTTCATATCTTGATCTTTTCCTCGATCTTAACAAAGATGACAACATCGACCTAAAATCAATATCAAACGTGATCATTCCAACTTTCACATATCCCAGTGAAATTATAGCTTCTGACCAAGGAATATACCGAAACTAGAAAGTATGTTTCATATCTTGATCTTTGCCTTGTTCTTTATACAGACAATCATGTAAAATCACACAAAACTATTACCAATGTTATTTCAAATGATCGGGCGGAGCTTACTTTTTAATTTGCATAAGGACAGTCTATTTGAAGTTGTGTGTGTAAAGAATGACTGCCGTTATAATTATTATTTATTTTTAATCACTTATCATTGTCACAAAACGAATTTACAAAAGCATCATTGTATGATATGGGACGAATAGAATAATTTAAAATCAAACGTGGTTATATGTGTTAAATTTTTTTAGAATATAGCAAAGTGCTCTCGACCAATGAAATTGTAGAATTTGGTGTCTCTTAATTGTGAAGAATGAATGTAAATCATATTCTTAGTAAGGGATTATCCTATTGTGCAGACCTACTTACAATTCATAACGAAGAGTTTTTATAAATGAGTTACAACTGCCCTGAAGCACATTTACTAGATTGAAAGGATTTATCACAGTGATTGGATTTGACTAAAAGTTGCATTGTGAAACAAATAAAAAATTAAAATAAGTTAAAGTTTACTGCTGCAGTAAAATTTGTGCCCATAATGTTATGAAAATAAATAACTTCAATCAATTTACCTAAAAAATAAACAATAGAGAATAATTATTTCCAATATTCCGAAAAAAAAAACCAACAGAAATTTGATTTAAGTTTAAAACTTTTAAAGGCATTTTATTAGAACATTTCCCAGACATAATAAAATAGTTTTAAAAAGCCGGACTGAAGTATCGGCTGAGGAATAAAATTTGTTGTAACTGAAATTTATTTATTGATTGAAACTGTAATTAAAAAAGGATAATTCCTCACTCAAATATAATAAGATTTACATTCATACACACAGTCAAGAAACATATACTTTGTACTGCTGTGTCACCTTACATCTTGTCTATAACACATTATTTTTAATATTTCCCAAATTAAAAGAAAGTCCTTACATCACTAAAACTAGCCCATAAATGAAATACTGCAAAATGAAGTCATGCATCAATTATAAACATTTAGTTTACACCAACAATGAAACAAATTCTTGAATACAACCAATCGAGAGATCATTTGCGCCTTGAGCACTTTACAATATTCTAAGTTTGTAAGAGAATGATAATCCCTTACTTCATGATGAGTACTCGCTATCGCTCGTACTTAACCATGAAGAAAGGGATTATCATTCTCTTACATATACGAAGTATCGGCTATTGTATCAATCCGATTAAACAAATAACTAATTGTGAGATAAATATTAATATTTGTTACATTTAATATACATAAAGAAAAATCTTTAATGAACATTGTTATTGTTGATCAATAAAGGAAATCAATAAAATCAAAGCACCATTTGCGTGTTATCAAACTGCCCACCAACCTAACAAAAAAAAAATCATTCGGAATAAAAGGAAGAAAAAAAGTATATCAAAACGTTATAGATTACGACATGTGCATATGTTGCAACTGCCCAATTTCCAAACTGTGGCAATTTTTTTAATTGGATCAATGACCATTACTGGACACTTCATTGATTAGTTTATCCCTAAACACACATCTTTAGATGGACTGGTCTATGATATGCAAACCGGTTAAACCCGCCCAGTCAAGTGAAATATATAAAGTAATACCTATTGTGATGAGGAAGAACGACTTAAATCGACACTACATATATTTTACGGTCACCGTCACTAAATGGTTGACCGATACCATATGTTTGAGTTTTAACTTACTTACGACATGTTTTAGTAATCTTAAATCTGTTGAGACAAGAAAAGATGTCAAATCTGTAATATAACCGATTGTGTTCTTTTCCCCGATTATGACATTTTGACTGAGCGTGGTTTCGCATTGCGGGTGAAGCATATAAAATTAAGAAAATGTGCTATGATTTCCAATGAGACAACTATCAAACAGAGACCAAATGACCTCAATAAAAGAAACTATAGTTCACCGTCCGGTTTTAAAAAAACCCATATCGTATATATAGACTAGTAAGCTATAAAACTAAATAACATGCTTCAAATTTCATACCAGGACATACATAAGTGGTCGGGTTAAAACATGTCTAATACTCCAGAAATAGTGCATACAGTTGTTTATATAATACATATATAAGGTGTTTTACAATATATCAAAACGAGACCCTTAACGGTTGCAAGAGCAAGAGTTTTTTTCATATTTTATCAGATAACATTCTTTTTTTGTAAATAATATGTTTTACATTTTAAGAAAAATAAAACAGAAATCTCAATAAAAGTTACAGGGTAATAGAAAAACTAAACGTTTTTGCACGATTCATTTATAATGGTGTACAAAACAAAAACCAGAACTTAATTTCAAATATTGTTCTATACATTTTGTTAAAATACATAGTCTTCACATTCGGTTTTTAAATTTATATGCGTACAATTGTATTGGTTTTTCATACCGATGACTTTATTCAAATCATGTATTCCTGGATGTCACTTTATATGACTCTTAAACTTCTTCCGATAACTATGTTACAGATTACATTGACAGTAGAATTTTCTGGATTGATGCTAAACTACATACCATCATGTCTGCTGATTTAGATGGTTCTCAAACACGTACCGTACTACATAATACTCAACAGATAAATCATTCATTTTCTATGACTGTTTTCGAGGACAATATCTTTTGGACAGACAGGTCAGGAGGCGACATTCGTACGGCTAATAAACATACTGGAAAACACTTCAAACGAAAAGTTATAGGTCTAAATTCACCAACGGGTATCAAAGTGTATCATGAATCTATACAAAGATCTGGTAAGCAAATTAGTTTCATGATGCAAGTAAAGTCTAAACGATTCCTTGTAAAATGTATCTTACAAATTATCCTTAACAAGCACCTGCTGATATGGATGAAAAATGAAAGACAATTGTCACATTTTCCATTTTACTGAAAAAATACAAACAACATAACTGTTTACATATATGAAAATCGACTTAAGGTCAAGGAATACTAGTAGTAAATGGGCTATGTCGCAGATTTTGCTAAAATTTTGTATACAACCTTGGCTCGTTGAACTACAACTAAAATGGAAAAATAATGCATTTATCCCCTTTATTATCTAAAATAAGTATAGATTTATTTCTTTCAATGTGGCTGAATATTTGTATAGAAAGCACATAAAATCGGCGAAAACCCATCTTAAATTTGTCTTAAAATTAGCAAATCTCTTATTTCTACTCCATAGAGTTTTCTTCAAAAGCTATATATTGTTGACACATACATTTCTGTTTTAATGATATAACATAATCATAGGGTCACCGACTTCGTTTGTTGTCTAATACTCAATTTGTTTTTTTAGTGATTAGGATTATAACGCAGTGTTGACTGCTGTATATTTGACATTTTTGCCTGTTGTGTCTGTTTGTTTTGTTCGCACATCGTTGTCAATATAATGGAATTTGATGCGACTGTCATACATGTGAGAGGTTTAGCTAGCTATAAAACCAGATTCATCCACCATTTTCTACATAAGAAAATGCCTGTACCAAGTCAGGAATGTGACAGTTGTTATCCATTCGTTTGATGTGTTTGAGCTTTTGGTTTTGTCATTTGATTGGGGACTTTCCGTTTTGAATTTGCCTCGGAGTTCAGTATTTTTGTGATTTTACTTTTTTTGTAACCTTGTTGGTACTGAAAAACGTCAAAAATCAACGTTTTACGTCCTGCAACGCGATGATGTTACGATTATTTTGACGTTTTGTGGGATTTTTTTTTTACAAATAACACATCTTTGAATGATGTATACCGTAAAAACGAAGTCGGTGACCCTATCTTTATTTTGCATCATTAAAACGGAAATTTATGTATTTTCAACATATAGTTTTTTTTAAGAAAAATCTATTGAGTAGAAATCAGAGATTTTATGATTTTAAGACAAATTTAAGAAGGTTTTTCGCCGATTTTATGTATTTTCTATACACGTGTTCATCTATTTTGAAAGAATTCAATCAGTAATATTTCAAATGATAAATGAGATACATGCATAATGTTTTCGATTTTCAGTTGTTGTTCATCGAGCCAGAATTCTTTGCAAAATTTTACTGAAAACTGTCACTTGACCATAATTGGTATAATATACGGACAAAAGGACGCAATGATATAATTTATACGTTTACAGGTTAATAGAATAAACTCATCATAGATACCAGGATTGAAATTTTGTATCTGCGCCAGACGCGCATTTCGTCTACAAAAGATTCATCGGTGACGTTCGAAAAAAAAAAGTTTAAAAGGCCAAATAAAGTACGAATATGAAAAGCATTGAGGACCAAAAATTCTTTAAAGTTTTGCCAAACACAGCTAAGGTAAATTATTCCTGAGGTAGAAAAGCCATAGTCTTTGAAACATTCAAAGTTTTGTAAACAGTAAATTTATAATTATGACCATATCAATGATAGTTCATGTCAACACAAAATTGCTGACTACTGGGCTGGTGATACCCTCGGGGAATAAAAACTCCACCAGCAGTGGCATCGACCAAGTGGTTGGAAATCAACTCATCAATGATACCAGGTTTAAAAATTTTGTATTTGCGCCAGACGCGCGTTTTGTCTACAAAAGACTAATCAGTGACGCTCGAATGAAAAAAGGTTAAAAAAAGGTAAAATTAAGTAGGAAGTTGAAGAGCATTGAGGACTAACAATTCCTAACAGTTTTGCCAAATACAGCTAAGGTAATCTATTTAAATCACTGAAAATACTGGACACCACTTAACCACATCAACCTCTTACACCCGACTCCTTCGAAAACACGGGCATACAAACAAAAACAAAAAGCAACGATCAATAAATGTTCTAGATAACCAGACAATTTCTTACTAGATGTTAATCCAGAAACGTGCGCACAAATTTCCCTTTTACCTTTCTAGACCATTTTTCGTAAAAATTATACCCACAATAGAATCATGCACCGTGCAAGTATCAAATAATTTATCACTCACTCGAAGAAGGTTGCAAAAAATTGCACATTATTTGAAAAGCAGGGATTCAATGCGTTCGCTACTAAAGGAAGCAAGCTAAGGAAGCTTTATTTGATTTATTCGTTTTAGATATTTGGATACGCACGCTAAAAAAAACAGAAAGATCATAATTAGGATTCATAACTGGTTACATAGTTGTCCTTTTCATCAAAATGCTTGAATCAGATTGTATTATGAAGGTAAAGTACAACATGGCGAGTGTGATTTTTCAAGATTTCTTTATTTAGAAATATTTTAATTTTATTTTTGTACACCAGCTCTTAATCAACATCAATCTATAGGCCCTTGCGTTCAATGTAGGTTGCCTAAACTATGCACTATATTGATGTTGAAGATGCAAATCCCTTTTAGGTTTTGAATTTCAATGATTAAATTTGAAACTGTGAAATTTTTCAATTAAAGGACACAATGTATGTAATGATACTGAGGTAGGCTGTGAATACTTGTGTTTACCGAAACCTCGAGTAAAATCAGACGATCCAATTATACCTTCGTATACATGTGTTTGTCCAGATAACAAGAAGATATCACACAACGGTCACACGTGTATTCCTAAAGGTAAGAATATTTTGATATTGTTACTTTTTTAAAAAATGCAGTTTTCTCAATAATACAGTTTGCACTTGTTATATAGTATATTTATTTATATGGATTAATTGTTTGAAATACGATTGAAATGTTTGGCGTTCAAAAAAGACCAAGTAGCAAACGACGAAAAACAATACAATTAACAAAAGAAAATGACGAATAGACAATTAACAGTAGCAAATTAGAAAAACTTAAGATCGAGCAATAATTAATACCAACCCCATCGACCCCGAATTCGAGGTTAACTTACAATCCCCCGCGAAACATGTATATTTGTTTGTTTATATCTTCATTCTTTGTGTCCGATGAAATTGCAATACTGAAGTATATCAGCCAAATTATTTCATTATGTTTTTAAAATCCATGCCCTAATGTTAGTTGATCCGTTTGAATAAAGAATCATGTATATCTGTAAGTTTCAGATATGAATACAGATTATCCGCCAACTGTAATGAGGACAATGACAACACCAGAGAGAACTGTAACCGGTGACATAAACATAGTAACTACACAATCATCGGCTGAATCCCAACCAACATCCATGAAGACACTTAGATCTGATGAAAGTAGAATATTATTATAATATAAAGTTATTTTTTTTGTGTTAAAAGAACAAAAGGGGGAATTTTAGTTTATGTAAATGAACTCGAGAGAACAATCACACATCATATACGAATCGATGTCAACATAATTTCTTATGGTTGATTGCACAAAAATCTAGACAAGTTATGAATAAATCTATTGCTATATCCAAGGATCTTCCATCAACACTGTATTCTTCAAAATTAAACAACGTTCAGACTTATTTTTATACGAAAATCAAGAAGTATTATAAATCTATCAATATAAAATGTATATCGTTATTCTTCAATAATCAGTGGGATTTCTGTATTTATAATCTGTGTTGTACGATAAATGAGATATCTGATAATCTTGATAAGATATCTTATAAGATATCTTATAAACTTTAGAATATAAAGGATATAAACTCTTTTAATAAAACAGAATTGCAAAAACTTCCAAAATATTCATATCTTTGAGGTCTCGGCATTTTATATAAGTGTGAGTATGGACCTTACCAAAAATATCCTTTGCTTTAAATTGTCTTGTACAAAGATGACGATTTAAGGAAAATTTTTCTTTTGTTTATGCCATCTCTCATGCCTATCTTTCTTAAATACAATGGTGAAAATTGACATATTTGGCCAAATATATCTGTTTCGTTTTATTTAGGACATCACAAGTTCTCTTCTAAAGTGCTCAGATTATGTCTTGCTATGCAAAAATCAATTAATCAATGAAACTAACATCAGTTTAAACGGCTTGATATTGCAATTACAGGGACCGAATTAGTTTTCTTAGCATTCTGCCTTCCATTCTTGAACAAATACATGTTTGTTTTCTGTTACCAACATCATAGTTTCATAATTATAATAACCATTACAACTAAATATATATCCTTAAATACTGACTCTTGAATTCACATGCCTTAATTAATCTCGCAAACGTGGAACCGCTGAAATTACTTTTTCATTTTAAATTCGATAAAGTTTACGTTTCAATCACGACTATCTGGTAACAATCATATTTATATATATATATATATTTAGAACTCACGATCAAATCAACATGCGAAAATACATATGAGTGCAGTGGGAAACTTTTATGCATAGATGGTATTTGTCAGTGTTATGAACAGTTTGTTTGGAATAGAACTAATTGCGTCAAAAGTAAGATTTATTTTATACACTAGTGAAATAGATAATGGGACCAGCAACAATATACTATTTTCCATATATATATGTTTTTTTTTATAATAGAATGTGATTGTTATTGGTTGTTTTATGTCATCTCATACAAGTAATGTTTTGTTATTTGGAATGTTCAGTCTACTTCAAGTAATAATATTAAGAAAATGTCTTGTGTTTTTTTTTATATATGTGTATTTGTAAGCAAGAAAACACAGCAAGCCAATATTTCAAACAACTTTTGAACATTTTCATCTTGTACAAATGCGTGAATTTCCACCACACAGAAGTCTTTGACATTTGCGCATCTTGTCGCATGGTTCACATGAGCCAATCTCCATATAGGGGGAAAAGCTACTTGAAACATAAATGAGAAAATAAGTAAGAAAGTGAATAGCTGCCTTAGTGTTGTTTTGTTCTTATCCATTTTTCTCCAAACAAGTAAAACGTATTGCTAACAGAAAAGTTACCCTGATGAAAAGGAAGAGAAACAATATTCTCGCTAGGATATAGCATATTGCCTTTATACTGGGATGAATCTATCATTTTGGATGTTCCTAACCATTAAAAAAATCGGTATGTTACTTGTCATCCGTCAATCCTTGTTGCCAGATTATTGAACAGTTTATCCTATGTACAACTATGAAACTTTGTTTTTAAACTAAAATAATTTCCCAGATAGCAAGAATATGAAATAAGCTCGACCCTTAAACCGCACATGATCCCTTCCCTTTATCACGACCCCAGAACCATAAATCATGGATCCACGTCTGATAAAAAGAAGTCATTCTCAATTTAATATGGTAGTTTTATTGTTGATTGTTCCACATATGTAGTCAGTTTTGCTAATTCTGATTTCTTTCAAGTTTTGCCTATCAAAGCTTCAGTATTTATATTTCATCCAGAGAAAGAAATGAGCAAAGTTTGTACAGATTCAGTAGAATGTCAAGACAATTTAGACTGTATAAATAGCAGATGCAGTTGCAAACGCTCAACATATTGGAATGGTATAAGCTGTGCCCGAAGTATGTTTTCATTGGTACTTTTATTAATAGTTTTTTTTGAAATAGTTATTTATATAAAAAAGAGTCTGAGTGAACTTATGTATTTGATGTATGGTGAATATCTTATGCAAAGCTGGAGACGGTTACCCTGTCAAATCACACAGTCTCGCTCTATTTAGAGTTCGTGTGTTTTCCCGCTGGTATTTCCTTTGGTTTGTATATTTTTTGAAAACGAATAACTGGCGCTATAACGGAATAACGAGTTTTAAGTATCGGTTAACATATGTTGCTACTTATTTGAACAAGTTTAGAATTGGAGCAATTTAAAATGTTCAACACAATTATCACACACGCATATACATACATTTATAACTTTTAAAACATTTTTGTTTAATACCCAGCCATTTTGTACTTACAATATATCTATGAAACTTTTTGTAGAATTCCCTTCTGAATGTGAGGATATCTCTAGTGATAAGGATGGTGTATATTTGGTCTATCCTAAAGGCAAAATGACGTATCGTAAAATATTAGTTTACTGCATCACGAGCGGAAACAAGAAATGGACAGTAAGTATGAAAATAAAACAAATAACCTTATTCAATATCATGAATATGGCAGCATGTTTTCAGAAAATAGGATTTGTTTTCTTTCGAACAATGTTTTATATGTCCGTACACTTTCATGAAATTCGTACATTGTAATTGAGTTAAAAAAAATGTTTGCAATCAAAAACTATTAATCAAGTCACAGAACATTGAAGCTTTATCTTAAAACATTCAGAATCTATAAAGATAAAAGTTGAAAAATGAAAAATCACAAATGATTATTTTGTTCAATATCAACGATGTAGCAAAGTTTAGTATCCTTAAAGGACCTAAAACATTGTAGGCTGTGTTTTTTTTTGTTATTCTTTCCCTCAAATTAAAAATAGATTAAAAAATAATAATCGAAATACTAACACCCTCAATAATTTAAAAAGTGGACAGGTTGATGAGACCTTATAAATAAAACTTTTAACCGTTTCCAATTAGGGTTACACTCATTTTTGTTTTTTTTGTGTGTTTTTTGGTATGTTTAATTTGAGCACACATATATTTACCTTTTATTTTTTCTTTGCATACAGGTAATACAGAAGAGAACTGATGAATCTGTGGACTTTTACAGAACATGGTCGGAATATTCAAACGGATTTGGAAGAGTTGATAGAGACCATTGGCTAGGTCATTACTTTTTCATTAAGAGTTTAAAAAATACGGCAACGTAAACTTCTTCGAGTGAAGATATATATACTATGGTGTCATGATGACGTGGGCTAGGCCTGATTTAGCTCATGGTAAGATTAATCATGTGCAACCAACAGTTTTACCCGAAAAGACATGTCTTCCAAATCAAAAGGAGAAGGACTAATTTGGCCATAACATGAAATGTATTTCAAACTGACTCTAATTTCAAGAATCAAATGTTGAATATAAAAGCTAAATGAAACAAATACTGTTCTAGTTTACAATACAATACACCCTTTAATGCGCTACACAGACACAAAGAATAAATAGAAATCTTCGCGAAATCGGGACTTTTTTGTCTTGCATTTGATTAAAAATAGCATAGTGCACATCAGTTGCCCAAAAGTTATTTACACCTTTAGTTGTTTATTGTACTTATCAATCCACTGACAACCCCCCCAACCCCCCCCCCCCCCCCCCAAAAAAAATAAATATTTGACCGCCGCTTGTGACTTATTTTTATTTAAGCCGAAATGTTCCAGCAATCAGCCTATTTTGCTAAAAATCTTTAAATTCTCCAAATGACGTCATAGTCAATTTCTGTAACCAAGGCTTGCTTTATATTCATATTTTAGAATGTCTTCCTTCTCAAATTAATAAAAAATTATCGGATTGGTTATGACTGTTGTTCATATCTAGATATAAGAAGATCCTTATTTTTGCAGCTTCTGCATATCAACCTTAATTCCAAAAAGTAAAATCACAAAAATCAAAAATACTGAACTCCAAGCGTGAAAAACCCCTTGGAAAATTAACATAAAATTGTATAGATGCAAAAATATAATAAACAAGTCTAAGTTGAAAACAACGTTCAAGCCTACATTAGAAAAATACGTGTGCATGTAAAACAAATTTCTTGGTAGAGGGGTCTAAATACAGCACACACAACATTTTCTAAAAGACAAAAAAAGTGAAAAAGTATATTTTCACAACACGCATTTGACTAAAAGGTCAAACAAATAATGTTCTTAAACCCTGCTGACTGCTATGGCGATTGCCAAATAAACGTATCACTAGATGTAACAAAATGGATCTCAATTATGAATTAAATACCAAAAAGAAAACAATAAACTTGCAGAAAAGATGGTATACCGCAAACATGAGGTGCACAAATTTGTACACCATATCCGGATTTCGACAATCAATGTCTCTTCAGTTATGTTAGGAATCGAAACGGTATTTAGAAGACCATAATATTTACCTCAATTTAGGATAGACTCTTGACTTTTGAAGGGTCGAAATAGAATAAACAGATCATATGAACTAAAAGGAAAATATAATAACAAGTCTTATTTGAAAACAACTTTCAAACCAATGATTTCATTGGATAAAAACCGCAAATTTATATTTGTGCATGCAAAACAAATTTCTTGATAGAGGAGTCTAAATACAGCACACACAACATTTTCTAAAAGACAAAAAAAAAGTGAAAAAGTATATTTTAACAAAACGCATTTGACTAACAGGTCGAACAACTGATGTTCTTAAACCCTGCTGACGACCATGGCGATAGCCAAATAAACGTATCACCAGATGTAACAAAATGGATCTTAATTATGAATTTAATACCAAACAGAAAACAATAAATTTGCGGAAAAGATGGTGTACTGCAAACATGACGTGCACAAATTTGTACACCATATCATATTTACCTATATGTGGTTGTGATTATCAGAATAAATATAAATATTATTTGATAAATTAATATTTTTGTTAGCTCTTTTTCGAATGCAAGGGACTGAAAAGTTCATATAAGTATTTCACATAGTGGTGTACTAATTTTCCTTTTTTCAAATTATTTCAGGAAACGAGAATATTTACCGTTTATCCCAAGATGGCACACATGAACTAAGCATTGTCTTAGTAGATTGGGAAGGAAATCTAATGGAAGCTAATTATTCTCAATTTTCAGTAAATAGTGAAGAAGACAACTACTCACTCAGTGTGTCAGGATACTCGGGAAACGCAGGTTTGGGGTCTTTAAAAAAATAAATTGCCAGTATTAATAATAGGCCAGCAAGAATCATTTTACTTTACAATTGAACAAGTGAGTGTATCACACCTGAAATCCATAATGTTAAGAATGTTAGAAATTTCTCCAGTTTAAATATATCAAGTATTAGTGTTATAGTCCCATAAACGGCATTACAAGGGGTGTAGGTGAAATACTGTTTAAATTGTATTACGACCAACACCTCATTCACAGATATGAATCTTTAGGGAACTATTATAAAGTTTGTGGTATCTGGCCATGTTCAATTAACTTTTGTGTACATGAAAGGTAACATTCATCAAAAAAGCCAGATCATTTAATTTCACATTCAAATATATTGATGATGTTATTTCCATTAACAATCCAATCTTTTCTGATTGGGTTCCGTTAAAATATACTTCAGAATCAGAAATTAAAGAAACAACAGACACGGCTTCATCTGGCTCATTGTTAGACTTATACCTTGTTATGACATAAACGGTCATCTAAGTACCAAAATCTATGACAAACGAGATGATTTTAATTTTGAAATTATCAATTTGCCCAACCTTAGTAGCATTATACTTTTTTCAACTGCATATGACAAACATTTCCCAACTCATATATAATATCTTGGGATGAATTAGATAATATTACACCACCAGAGCAGCTGTAAGCCTCATATTATCGCCTGATACAAAAGATAATATTATACCATCAGAGCAGCTGTTCTAGCCTCATATTATCGGCTGATAAAGGATAGTGGTGAACCATCAGAGCAGCTATAAGCACATATCGTGCCGGATAAAAAAGATAAAATTACACCATCAGGGCAACTATAAGCTTATATAATCGTCTGATAAATAAATAATATTGCACTATCAGAACTGATATGGGCTCATACCATCATGTGATACATAGATTAAATTGCCTTATCAGAGTAACTTTAACCCTATGTCATCACCTGATATATAATATTGACCTATTAGAGTATATTGGTCCATATCATCGGCTGATAAATATATAATAATTGCATATGCAGCGTAGCTGATAGACCACATCTTCGCCTGATCAATCGATATTTTTGCACTATCAGACTTTTGTGAGTCCATATCATCTTATTATAATTATGATAAATAGATCATATTGCACTATAATTCCAGCTATTATCCAATATCAATAGAGTATAATTGCACTTTCAGGGCAACTTTCAGCCATCCTCAAAAAATAGATGAGGTTGCACTATCTTCCGATTAATATATAATATTGCACTATCAGAGCAGCCATGAGCCCATAAATTTTACCTGGTGATTAGATAAGTTTTAGGGGTACAGCAGTCATCATTGCGTTATAACCTTAATAACTACAAAAACAAACAAATATATCAACATAGAAAACCAGAAAGGCACATAGACGAAGCACATAAGCAACAAGTAAAACTGCGAGCTACTGTTCACTGATGATATCCCCGCCGAAATATTTCGGTAAACAGGAAGTTGTTGAGTGATGAATCTGAAAATGCATCACACGGTATAGCTGACTTATATAAACCCTGAAACCAAATTTCAGAAATCCTTGTATTGTAGTTCCTGAGAAAAAAACTGTGTGACGAAAATTTTCAACTTGGCTATCATGTGTAAAATGATACAAGTGTTCGGTAAACAGGAAGTTGTTGAGTGATGAATCTGAAAACGCATCACACGGTAAAGCTGACTTATATAAACCCTGAAACCAAATTTCAGAAATCCTTGTCAAGTAGTTCCGGAGAAAAATGCGACAAAACTTTTCAACTTGGCTATCATGTGTAAAATGATACAAGTGTTCGGTAAACAGGAAGTTGTTGAGTGATGAATCTGAAAACGCATCACACGGTATAGCTGACTTATATAAACCTTGAAACAAAATTTCAGAAATCCTTGTATTGTAGTTCCTGAGAAAAATGCGACGATAATATTAATGGGACGGATGGACTAACGGATGGACAGACGGATGGATGGACAGAGAGGTAAAACAGTATACCCCCACTTTTTTTAAAGCGGGGGTATACAAACGAAAGACAAGAGTACAAAAATTTACCATAGCACAATAACACAATGACGAGATGTATAAGTTCCGATCCACGTCAAATGGATATATAACAAAAAGACTAAATAGTAAAAGTAATAAGTTACAAAGACAAATAAAAGAACACTATAATACGTTATTAATATGATAAACAACGTCAGTACCTAGAATCTATACTTCAAGACCATCGTGTATTTTTGTGAAGTGGATACGGAGTATTTATCAACAAGGTATTGGTAACTTCCGATAAACGTTTTTAGAAAAAGGACGAGACGTATTTCGACCTACCCCTGGTTCATCAAATTTCTACTCAGACACTGTTGACGTTTTATAAAGTCTGAGTAGCAGCTGCAAACTCTTGAATACCGAATAAGTTGGGAAATGTATATCCCATATGCAGGTGAACTTTGTATATTACTACTAAGGTGGGGGAAATTAATAATTTAAAAATTTAAATCGTCTCGTCTCGTTTGTCATAGATTCTGGTACTGAGATGACCGTGTATGTCAAAATCGAGGTATGAGTCTAAATATAAGCCAGAGGAAGCCGTGTCTGTTGTTTCTTTAATTTTGGCAGGATATATTAATGGAACCCCATCAGAAAATTTGGATTGTTAATGGAAAGAACATCATCAATATATCTGAATGTGAAATTAAATGATCTGTCTGAAGGAACTCCGAGTCCTATCAAAATAAGAAGAAGTCGGCAAGAAGAGACGCACAGTTCGTTCTCATAGGAATGACGACAATTTGCTGACAAAAAGTCTACCTTCATATTCAACAAATATGTTGTCAATAAGAAACTCCAGCATACTGCTCACTTGTTCCTCTGTGTAGCACGTTTTACCTTTTTGTTCACTATTAACAAAATATGCCGTATAGTATCCTAATGTAATAAATTTATAGCGTATGCTACCATTTTAATGTTGAAAAGCATTGTGTATTATTTCTTTTAGATAATTTTTCAATTTCATATGGGGAATGGTGGTACCAGGGTTGAAAAATCAAACGTTTTGATATAACTAATTTCAGAAAAAGATCAAGATCTAAATTATCCAGAATTAAGTTCTTTAGATGTGTTTAGAATCCACATATGGTTAATACCACTATGCGAGTAAACAGTTTCACAATATTGGCTAAGCCTTACAGATACTTTGATAGTGTAATATTATCTATTCATAAAAGGAAGTATGGGCTAACAGCTACACTGTGAGTTATTATCTATATATAAGTGGATGGTATTGGCGAACAGTTGCTCTGGTAGTGCAATATATAATACTAAATAAGATGACTGCTTTGTGGTCGCTTTTCCGTCTTCCTTATGAAATCAATAAATCTGGCTCTCTGCCATAAAGGAAGTATGCAAATTGTAGTTTTTTATCCTCTCAATAATTGTTCAATTTGGGTTAGTTTGGGCAAAAATTCGGTAACGAAACCAATTGTTGGTGTCCTTTCCGTGATTACCATCGATTTCAGATCGTATTCACTTTCAAATTTCCTACTTTGTTTCAAGTCACAAATATTCTTTCTGAATACATTGAAAGCAAAAAATATATTAACCAATTGAGTATGGCTGTTGAGTAATTTGTAAAATTTAAAAAATTTCAACAATCCTAACCTTTTTTGTATTCCTTATAATTAAATCATAAAATCTGGCATTTAGACTGGCATAAAAGTCCAGATTTTGATCTCTTTTCAGGCCAAATTTCATTTTCGACTGTCATTTCCTAAACTTTCTTAAATGTGTTTAAATATGAGAATGGTCTTCTTATGAATTTTATGTTTGATTCTCACATTGGTCTACTTTTCAGATGATGGTGTGGGCTAACATCTGCTCTGATATTGCAATATCTATTTATCAGGGAAATGAGCTAACATCTGCTCTGATAGTGCAATATCTATTTATCAGGGAAATGAGCTAACATCTGCTCTGATATTGCAATATCTATTTATCAGGGAAATTATCTAACATCTGCTCTGATAGTGCAATATCTATTTCTCAGGGAAATGAGCTAACATCTACTCTGATAGTGCAAGATTATTAATATATCAGGGGATGGTATGGGCTTAAAGCTGCTCTGATATTTTAACATAACATATTCATAAGCAAATGTTATGGGCTAACAGCTGCTTCTATAATTTAATCTTATCTATTGATCAGGTGATGGTATGGACTACCACAACTCCAAATCATTTTATACTAAAGACCGGGACAACAGGAATGGGTGTGCTGTCAACAGACATGGTGGTTGATGGTATGACAACTGTTACCAAGCAAACCTAAATGGAAGGTATAATGGGACAATAAATGAATCTGGAAAATATACAGGACTAGTATGGTTTGAATGGAAAAGTGACTATTCCTTAAAGGCAACGCTGATGATGATCAGAAGGAAAGAGTAAATACTGATACTCGTATTAAAACTTGCGTGAAAGAAACCAACTTATATCAATTTACTTAATAAATGATTTTGTATATTTTAATGCTTAGAAACAATATTATCATTCTATAAAACTGCTACCAATTAGCTTCCCGTGTAATTTGATGATTGATATTTGAAAACACTGTTGTAGACCATTTTGCTAATTTTAAAGTTACAGCTGGCCACACATCATCACACCTATTTGTGTTGGAGTTCATCAACTTTAATTTGTTAAGTGTAAAGACCAATTCACCAGAATCTAAATCAAACAATAGACAGCATTAACATATCTTCCAATATTTTACTGATTTAACAATACCACAGCTGCGTGTGTGTACTTTGAAGTATCCGTTTTAAAAAGATCACGTCATATTTTAAACATGTTCAAAAGTTAGAAGACTCAAAAACTACAAATTGGGAAAAATTAGAGGTATTTATTCTGAAAAATAAGTATAAAGGACATGTGTAACCAAAACCAATCTCTTTTGTAGTTCTGCTTACAGATTTTCCTACCATTTTTTTTAATCAGTTATTCTACTTTATTACGGATGTTTTTTTTCTGCAAAATTTTACCCAAAACATTCTTATTTAAATTGTATTTTGCTGCAATGTGAGTAAAATTTGAATATTTACTATTTTTATTTAATCTACAAGTCCATTTTGTAAGGCCATGGGGCACTCTTACCCCTTTCATAAGTTGAAATTCTGATATTCAACAGGCAATCAGAAATCATGTAGTCCAATAAAAAAACAGACAAACCAATGTCCAAAAATATTAATCAGGAAAAGACGATTACAACAATAACAAAATTACACAGATATCTTAAGATTGAGCAACATATATTATACAACTATCGGTCATCCCACTGTCTGTATCTCTCTGCTCAGCTCCTAATAAGATTGCATATCATGGCTTTGTGATGTCAAATACATTAACCAGGCATTAAATACTGTTACCTAGACATGTCATAATAAATTAACCATGTTGATAAGTTTGATCCCAAATTATCAAATATCAAATAACTACATGTTTACTGGTGAGACAAAGAAAACAATTGTTTCTTTCATGCAAAATACACAAAAACATACCAATAAATCGATTACTGTGGATTCATTTATTTTCGTGGGTATCAATTTTCGTGAATTGAGGAAAACTTGCATTTTCCTGGATATTTGATATCGAGGAAAACTTGCATTTTCCTGGATATTTGATATCGTGGTTTTGCCATACCTTGGATACAAAGCCTAATGAAAATTTGTAATTCGTTGACCATTTGAATTCGTGGTTTACCAGTATCAACAAAAGCCAGGAAAACTAGTATCCAATGAATAATAATGAATCCACAGTAAATGGCACATACCTCGGGTTATCTCATGTAATCAGGAAGTAATAAACCATGATTAAAGGCCGTACTTTAACCTATAATGGTCTACATAAGAAAATGCCTGTACCAAGTCAGGAATATGACAGTTGTTATCCATTCGTTTGATGCGTTAGAACTTTTGATTTTGCCATTTGATTGGGGACTTTCCTTTTTGAATTTTCCTCGGAGTTCAGTATTTTTGTGATTTTACTTTTTACTTTCTTTTTACAAATTGTGAATTAGGTGGAGAGTTATCTCATTGGCACTCATGACAAATCTTCTTATATCTATTTATGGAAGAGACCCAAATTTCTAGATTTAAATTTCAATGATACTCAAGTTTTATCCAATAAATGTTAGAACTATAAATTCAGACCTTGGTTTAAATTCTCTATCAATAGTTATAAAGACTTTGAAATGCTACTTTTATTGTATTTCATCATTATATCATATAGCTTTTAATGTAATAAACATATCAAGTATAAGTTGTATAATATTTGAATACTGAATAAAATAAATACTAAATAATGAAAGACAAGATTGGTCAACTGTAAGATTTTTTCCCCAAGAAAACAAATAAAACAATATAGTTTCAGCCATAGAGAATTATTACTATTTTTGGTTAATTTTGTCTTAAAAGCAGATTCTTTAATGTTTATGGACGGACTTTTTAACACAAAATAAGATTATAAAAGTTTATGTAAATATATGCAATTACTTAAACAAAACTAGAAGAGTAACTCTATCACAGTCTAAAATGGACGGAATAATTAAATCACAAAATAAAGGACGGAAGAATAAAATCACAAAATAATCAATTTCTATAAATTTGACATAAATCAGTTTAAAGTCAATTGAATCACAGCATGGGTGTCTTAGTATCAGGATAAAGACTATAGGGAACTTGGTCATCAGTTGATGATTCATTTTGTTCCGTCACTCGGTATGGAGACTTTGGTCTCTGCCCTGATGCTGGTCTTTCTGAAGTTGTCATCTCCAGATCTATGTTTTGACCAGAGGATTCTGCAGTCTTGTGTGATGTGAACTCAGGTGTCCAGTTCTTTAAATCATTTGATTTTGGTCTTTTTGGCTTAAACTTTGGTGGACGGTTAGAGCCTTTCAATGGATCTGGCATGGCAAATGCTGTTGCAGGTGAAGGAATTACCCAGTTTTCAGGATAATCCTCTGGGGCATCCTTTATCCACTTTCTCTTCTCTTTGCCTTCTTTGTTGGACTTTTCAGGATTAACATTTTTTTTGAGTTGAGATGGCTTCATGTTTTTCTCTTGTGAATCTGGTGTAAGTCCCTTTTTGAGAACAGGAGCAGTTGTTAAACCTTCAACTGTTTCAGATTCAGTTGGTTCCAGAGATTTGGGCTCAAATACTGGTTTAGCATTTGGTTGTAGTGACTCTGGACTGACTGATGAGTTGTTAAAAAGAGGAAACTCTGACACAAATGGCCGTCTCCATCCTTTCTGGGGCTCAGGTTTGCCATCTTTTTCTGGGAATAAAATAAAGCCCTGAAAGAGAGAACTTTCTGGTATCAGTATCAGTAAAAGGAGAACAAGATGATCTTTTATATACAAACAACATTACCTTACTAAAAATGGTGGGCTATTTTTGGTAAATCAAACTAGTGTACAGATTTAGTAAAAATTTTATTCCCAGGGATCAACAAATGAATGATTCCTTCAGTTGGTGTAGTTATGATCCAGTCTTCAATTGTAATATCATCAAAAATATCATCTCACCAATTATTTACAATACGCAACACCATGGGTGCCACTGGTGAAGCAAGAACTGCTTACCATTATAGAGCACCTGATTTCAACCAAAGTTCCATGTGAACTTCCTGTTGCTCAATATTTCATTGTAGTGTCTTTGAAATTTTTCTTTAGGACTTTGTTCGTCTTTTTAAAAATCTGGCTCATCATATTGGTCAAGTACAAAGCAGGGTTAATACTCATATTACATTTACATGTTCTTGTTCTGACTGCATTTAATTTAATTTTGGATTTTAAACAGCCATCCATCATCATCATCATCATCAACATGATACAAATATGAATAAATTTCAAAATACTCCCTATCAGTTTTCCTTATCTACTTATGTATAAACTGTATACCCCAGATATTGACCTCAACATTTTATTTTGATTTTCTATTTACTGTTGTGTAACTATTTAACTGATTTCAACCTAATATTATTCTTTACCAATTCCTATCTATTAAGTTACCTTGTCAACAGATGATTCATTGGCATCGCTGTCAAAAGGTCCTGTTTTACCTATAAAAAGACACAAACAAATAATTTTAATTTTTAACGTTTCTTCATTTGGCTAAGATAATTCTATTACAGCATAAATACAAATCAAAATAACATGATACAGTTCAGCTTATCTGATTCACTTATTTTCCCCAAAAAATATAGTGAGAGGCAAAGAAGCAAGTTTCAAGAAATAATAAATTGGATTTAATTTTTAGGTCCTTTCTGGTCAAATACATCCTCAACTGTTTCAGTTCTTGGATTTCAAATATTTGGAAATGAGAATTCCTGCTGAAGGTAAATCCAGAAAAGCGCTTCAAACCAATGAAAATTATAAAGCAGTCTTTTCATTTTGAAATAAATGAAAAAAACAGATACTTATCAGAAGCATGTGCAATGTTTCAATAACAATTATTATATATGATTTCATTTTAGAAATATTAGAATTATAATGTACATCATTGTTTACCTGTTACAGATGTAAGAATTTAATTTTTCAGGATTGAATCAGTAAAAAAAATAGAACTTTCTTTCAGACATTCACTTTTGGGCTGACTTTTTTTTCAATAAGAACAACTAAACTTGCTGAGCACATGTGCAATCATTTAAATCTCCAACATAGGTTGAATGGAACATTTCCTGGATATGGTTCTAAATGATGTCAAGTCAAGAATTTGTTTTTGAGAAAATTGAACCTTACTGGCTTCTTTAAAGGAATGTTTATCCAATATTTTGTTCTTGCAGTTGTTGAAGCCAAGAAAAGATACTTTTATTATTTCAACATATATTGTCACAATCAAAGCTGATGTGAATGACCATCTGATAGACATTTGTATGTTAAGAAGATTATCATATCATGTATTTCTCTACTTTTTAAAAACCCTGTCCGATATGACTACTGCTGGCAATAAACAACAAATATCAATACAATCTTTGGAAATAATTACCATCAGTAAAACCTAGGCTTCCAAAACTGATATCTCCCATACTAGCTTCAGAGGATTCAGATCTCAGTGATGTCAGGGAATCATTGAAATTTCTCTTTAGAATGTGCTTCTCTATCCATCTTAAATGCCCGCTAAAACATAATACATAAAATGTATTTACTGTATTAAAAAAGAAAAGCTTTAATATTTTTGCATTCAAAATATTGTATTACATTATAATTTGTTTACATCAAAATACATGTATAGGTATCCCTAGGGCCTGAGACCTTAAATTTCAATTTTTTTTTTTAATTCTCTCTATTCAAAACAAACATCTCCAGTAGCTTTTTCAAAATCATAACAATATACAGATGTTCAAAGATGCAATTATATGAATGTTTGATTCAAAACCTTTTATTCATCAGAAAAACAATCTAATCAGGGTTTCAAGCTGATCATGAACCTGTAAAGGATAAAAAGATCAAATACCTCTTTTTGACTTTACGTCTGTACAGAGCTGCCAGTATTATGAACAGGAACAACAATCCCCCCACCACACCAACAGCCACTATCCATGGTTTAAAGTCACATTAGGATTATCCTGTGGACATGCACTTTTGTATCTGTTGACCTGGTTGTAACATACATGGGCCTCTGTACAGGGAGAGGACACACACTCATCTATGTCAGTTTCACAATGTATTCCTGTGTACCCTGGTTTACATATACATCTGTAATACTTGTCAAAGTCCTCAGCTCTGTTTGGATGCTGACAGGGATATAGAGGGAATGAACTGTCATTCTTATCTAAAAAAGAAAAAAGTATATACATAATGCCAATGTAATCTTTATTCTGAGTTTCTTTGGACATTTACATGGATATAATGGGTAAAAAGTGCAAATCTTTCAGGGTTCTTATTTTTATATTTCCTGAACAATAATAAAGTATGAAGAACCACATATATGTCAATAAACAGGGTGTTGTTATAAGAGCCTAAAGTCCACCCTGTTATAATGCCACAAGAAAATATCTACTGGTTTAGTATTTGTTAAGGTCTCAGAACTAGTTATCTTTGCAAACTGCATGACTTTTCTATTTACGCTAAACATTCAAAGTCTGTCTTACTAGTTAAATTCATTTTTTTTACCAGTTAATATAAAGCTAGAATCAGCAGTTTTAAATCCTGATTGGACTTTTTGTAAAGAACTGTATTTAAGACTTAGCAATATTTGCAATGAATGAAATAAGAAATACTGATAAATTTCATCCATCTGGTAAACAAATCTTTTTGCACAATCATTGTCCACAAAATGATAGCAAACTAACAAAGTAATCTCCCTGTTCTTGATAATATACAGACATAATATAAACACATATGTCCAGGTAACAAAAACGAATTTCCAATACATTTTTGCGTTTTCAGATTAGATATAAATTTCCTCCGATTTTGGCATTGTGTAAAATTAAGGTATAGCATTACTTAAAATAGCCACCCACTATTATTGATAAATTGTTGCTTGCATCACATCCAGTGGTATCCATCATCTATAAATATCATTACCTTCACAAATTCCTTCATTATTGCAAAGTGACTCCATAATGATAAATCTCATGGTAACAACATTTGATGTAGCATTATGGGTATCGTTGATATATATTTTGAGTTCGTCATAACCAGAAAACAACATAGCTTGGTCATAACTGAGGCTGTAATAAATCCATGACATATTCTTCCCAGCATAAGGTAATGTATGGCTAAAGTTACCACAAGGTAGGCTGTTCACCTGAAAGATATATATAAGAATACCTGTTAATTTTATTTCAAAAGTCAATAATTTTCTTGTAAAAGGTCTGTTCTTTCCAGGTTGTTACACTACATATTTTAAAAATCTGAATATCACATTGTTACTGAGAAAGTACATATTTCAGTTTGTTTTCTTCTTTTAAAACAAGCCTAACAGTCTGTTGCAATATATTACGTGTCAAATAACTTTCCAACTTAACCTCACATTATCAATACAAAGTTAAGAGCTGATATTTACAAACTCTTAAGTATAAAATAGCTTTTCACTCCCTGTAATATATAGCCTAGCTTGTATTTTCAGAATTGTTGAACATTTTAAAGGAAGTTATGAAAATTGTTCCTGTAAACTTTCTTTCAAAATTAAACACTTCTTTCAGGAACTGGTTAAAATTCAAATAACAGGCACTCAGGAGATAGTGACATAAAGTATTTTAATACCAATGGATCACATAATAATAATATGAAAAATAGTGGCACAATAACTAATGAGCCACCTTCAGTCACAATTGATGTAGGCAATCAATTATATGACCAGGTTCTCCTCACTTTAATTTACTTATGTTTGTTTATATATTCTAACCTGTGGACTTTCTGTACATGGCTGTACATCAAAAGGTAAGGTAGATTTCTCAGTCAGAGTGTGGTTACCATGTGATGGCTCATTGACTTCTATATGGAGACTATCACTTCTATCAATATCATAGGCACCAATCAGTGCTGTAAACTGCTCCGACCAATTCTCTTTGTTGAATGTATTCATCTGTTCCAGATATATCTAAAAGTAATACAACAATTTACTTTTAAAACACATGTCATTTCAAGAAATAAATAATCTACAATATAACGTCATCATTTACCGCAAAATTCCCTTCATTAAAACAATGAAATTTCATAGATTTAATAAATATTTTTCAGTGTGGAAAATAAAGATATTCCTTTCAAGGAATTAAAAACCATATATGACTACTAATATATGTTTCGAAATGCACATAAGTAGATGTAACTAGCTATATAGGTGTCGCTCATTTTAGTCAATGTGCATATACCATAAAGGACACTTTCCAACATTAAGACAAGAATAGAATTCATGACAAAAATCTCTGTTTTGTTGATCTTGTATTGTTGATCTTGTATTGCTGATCATTTAGTCTGTTTAGTTTATCTCTATCTTCTTCAGTTTTTGCCTACAATTTAACACAAAAAAGGGGTAAACAAAATCCTCATTTACTATAAAAAGTGACAGTCTACTAACTATATCAGCAAAATTTGACTTGTTAGTAGTTCTTGACTTGCTGATAATTTTTGTGAATTAAGTGTCTCTTTATCTTTTATAATTTTCTTCATATAAGGCAAAATGCAAAACAAAAATCTACAGATGATTTCAACCATGCAGACTTATTTGTAGAACTTGTCTGCTGATAATTTTTGCATTTAAAGTTTTTCTCTATCTACTATAGTTTTCAAAGGTATGGTCTATTTTAAGCCATAGCGCCCATTTTGGTTGGCAGGAGTGGTCATCAGGCACATTTTTTAAACTACATTGTAGATACCCCAATAATGGTTTCGGCCAAGTTTGGTGAAATTTGGTCCTGCAGTGTCAGAGATGATTTTAGTAAAAATTATCAGAAGACTGCAATGGATGAAGGAGGCCAAGTGATGAGAAAAGCTCACTAAATTGAGCTTAAAAGTATGTATTGAAGGTTGAAGAAGTCAATTTAAGCCACATTCAGAAAACCAAATTACACAACTTATTTTCTGAATAGGAACTGAGACATATAAATCAATCTTCTTCCCTCTTTCTTATTCTAAAGGTATATACTTATTAGTTAAATTCATTACCAGAGATGTTCAAGTACATTTTATTTACCATAAACATTGCATTTAAGACTTTAACATGTTTATCAAGTTTAATTCAAAATTACCAGAATGGGTTCAGTAGGATCTGAATGCATGACAGACCAACCAAACTGTGTAACAAACATCACTGGAGGGTTGTTAACATCTATAACATTGATGGTCACTGTGACTGGTGTGTCAGCTGGTGGAATGTCTGGATCTGATTGGTTCTCCTGTAGTATGATAGGGATAGATTCCACTCCATAACAATCTTTACAAGGTGTATACAGCAGGCTATGAAAAAAAAACAAACATGTAGTTATGTTGAATTCCTTATGCAAAATTAAAATATTTAAAGCTAATAAAATTGCACTAAGGCAGTACTTATAAACAAGTGCATCAAATCAGTTTGCTCAGTGTGAGCATAAAACATAACATTGTATACTTATTGATTGGGTATGAGTGGAATAGTAAATTTATTGTCCCCCGAGTTGCAACTATTGTCCTGAGGCATAGCCGAGGGCAATAGTTGTATATGAGGGGACAATAAACTTACTATTCCACGAATATTCAGTCAGTAAGTGTTTTATTATATCAAAAAAGACAACAGACAATACATGGCAGTGATAAATCAACTATCCCAATATATAAATCAAAAACCCAACCATAACGTTTACTTCGTAAATATTCTGAAATGCTAAGGTTACGTCTTGCACTGACGTCCACCTTAGATACAATAGGTAATAAGCGACGTCGGTACTCCCGCGGTATTTTCAAAATCATCCAATCCCGTAGCTGCATTGGAAATTCCGCGAAATATAATGACATTTGCGATCAAATAGTTTCTTCCAGGTCCAATAGTTGGAAACTATTGACCCGTCCACTAGTTCAACGCTTGCAATTTGAAAAAATAGTCAAAATATTGTGTACTTATTTTATATAGAAAATGATAACCGAGGTATAATAAAGAATTCTAGATCACCTCTAGATTTTCAGTTCTGCAGCTTACAGTGAACCTTGAAATCTGAGTCAAACCCTAATTTGGGCCAAAATTAAAATTAATTTTGTTTCCCTTTACTCGACCGACCCTCTAAAAATCCGCCGACTGAAATAATTTTTTTCAAAAATCACGTTGTTGTTTTTTTTTCTTCGTTTCGCTCAAAAGTTAGTTTTTTAATTTCATTTCCTTGAATGATCCGTATTTTCAACATTCCGCGAAATCATTGTCGCCCGTGTGTTTGCAGCAAAGGGTAAACAACGTATGCAAGGATACTGAAATTGGAATGGAATAATGTTTTAAATAAAAGCATCCGAGCAATCGTAACTTCTCTGCCATTCTAGCTACGCATCCAAAAACAATATTGTATGCGTAGCGAGAATGGCCGAGTAGTTACGATTGCGCATCCGAGCACACCCATGAGCTTAAATGTTAGGCCCGGCGTTTCTGCCGTGTTTGGGGTAAATCCCTGATTTCGCCTTCATTAGTGGTCGACTCAATAAGTTGTATATTGGCGTGCTATTTATGCTATTTTGTTTCATATGTTTCATTTCGTATGTTATATTGGACCATACACCAGTTGTCTTTGGATAAAATAGTAGTTGATTTTTTTCGAGCTCAGTATCATATTGTGTTGTGCTAGGTCGAGCTGACTATACCAGCTAATTCTTTGATAACAGTTCTTGTAGGTTTTTATGTCTTTTATAAGCTATAATGGGCTGATGATTAAATATGGTCACACGTTCAGGGTTTTGTGAAATAAGATGTCAGTGTTTCGTTATTATAGTTTTAGTTTCTGTATAGATGGGTTGAATTTTGTTAACATTACTAACGGTTGCTCTCGTTTCGCTGGTCGACGTGTTAGCAAGTTTTCCCTTTCTGTATTTTGTGTTTGATAAAAAAAATCGTTGATTTCAGATATTTGATATCGTTGTTTGAGCTTCTAACTGTTTTTTTTTAAGATCAGTTTTGCTGCTTGTGTTTCTGAGATACCTCAGTACTTCACCCTTGATAAATCCTTTCAATGAAAACACTTTTTGGGTGTGAGCTGTGTCTGTGCAGATATTGATATGTTTCAGTTGGTTTGATGTCTTGTATCATACTATGCCTTCGTTAAAGAATCTTTCTCCTTTGTATAATTATGACAGTGTCTAAGAATATTGTTCATTACAGGAAAATTTGTAGATGAACTTCAACTATCATTTTGTTTCATTGTGTTGAAACGTTGAAAAATGTGTTCAAGAATTAACAAACATTGTAAGGTCTGCTAACTCAGCGAATGCTGATCCGCACATAGGCACGCCCAAGGTTTCATAGTAAAGTTTGTTGTTAAAAATAAATTCATAGTTTTCTAGAATAAGCCTTAATAGGCGTAGTCATACTCGCTTGAATTACGGTTTGTGGCTTCTAGTATTTCCTTAAATGAAAAAGTGTACATATTTTTGGCATCGCATGTTACTAGGTAGCAATCTTGTTGGGGTTTTATATTTTCAATTGAATTAATAAAACTATAAGAAAAATATAGAACCGTGTCTCAATTTATATGTGGTCTACTCTAAGTCACAAAGACATTGATATTTACAAACATTTTCTTGTCTGAAATTGTAAGGTCTTCTAGTCATGCATAATACGTTATACAGTATGTTGTTTTAGTATCAATAAAGTTGAATTTGTTGTTTTTCTGTGTTTTCCTGTGTGTTAGATATATTTCAGGGATTTTCTCTAAAAAAAAAATAGCCTACCTACCTACCCACTTCCAAAATGGTGGGTAGGGTAAGGGGAAACAAAGATATTTTTAATTGCGGCCTTGGTATATATTTTAGAAATTTCACATCATAATGAAAATATGTACTAAGTTTATATATATATATATATATATATATATACAAGTCTAAATTGAAAACAACGTTCAAACCTATGATTGTGGTGGATAAAAACCGCAATTTTTAAACTTGTGCATGCAAAACAAATTTCTTGGTAGAGGGGTCTAAATACAGCGCAAACAACATTTTTCAAAAGACCAAATGAGTGAAAAAGTATATTTTAACAAAACGCATTTGACTAACAGGTCGAACAACAGATGTTCTTAAACCCTGCTGACTGCCATTGGCGATTGCCAAATAAACGGATCACAAGATGTTACAAAATGGATCTTTTAAAATTATTAATTTAATACCAAACAGAAAACAATAAACTTGCGGAAAAGATGGTATCATCTTAGTGTCTTTGATCAAAGGGAACTCAAAACAGTTTTTGAAAGATTTTATTGGCTCCTTACACAATAACTGCTTTAAAAGATTTTTGAGGAAGTGACTATTGTTTCTTAGTGTGGATTTAGACAGCTGGTGATGCATGCATAACAGAAAATGCTTTCTTTATTGACACCCCAGTCTTCCTCATTTTGAAGTTCAATTTGGTTTTGTTCTCATGATTTTTCAAACTGATTTGAACCTCTGCAAATACAGTTGCCTAATTTTAGACTAAGATGAACATTTTTTCATTTTTATTTTATCTAGATGTACAATTCCTTGGGCCATATTTTAAAACATCAAATCCAAAGAGAACAAGAATGTGTCCATAGTACACGGATGCCCCATCCGCACTATCATTTTCTATGTTCAGTGGACCGTGAAAATGGAGTAAATCTCTAATTTAGCATTAAAATTAGAAAGATCATATCATAGGAAACATGTGTACTAAGTTTCAAGTTGATTGGACTTCAACTTCATCAAAAACTACCTCGGCCAAAAACTTTAATCTGAAGGGGGACAGACGAACGAACAGACGGACGAACGGACAGATGAAGGGACGCACAGACCAGAAAACATAATGCCCATAAATGTGGCATAAATAAAAATAACAACTTATTCAGCAACACACAATACTTTGAACAATTTTGATAACAAAATAATATAATAAAAGGCAGCACTATGAGCCACATCACTTTTTCAAAGAATAAAGTTCCATAACTCCTCATTGTAACATCAGAAAAGGAAATGTCTGGTAAGGGCTAATTTTGGCCTTAAATTCAAAGAACATCTAGAGATAGATTTTTGACATTTTTTAAACACTTTTTTTTTTAAATGTTGAAAATTTTAAACTGATTTGGTTATTTAAGACGCTCAAATTCAAGCTTAAATATTAAAAATCTATCAACTTTGCCATTGATCGTCACTTTTCGTTTAAATCTTCTAAAATGGAAGTGGCCTCATATGTATTAATTCTCAAAATTCATATATTTAATTTTTTTTTTTAATTTTTATTATTTTCAAGAATTACAACAAATACAACACATCAAACATACATACAGTAATATTAGCAATACATTTGAATATATATTTATTTATGACAATAAACATTGTTGAAAATTCATTTTATACATATTTATATGAAAAGAGAACAAAAATACGGAAGAAAAGATAATTTTAGTTAAATGTTTATGTACCACTGTGTGGCACATGAGAATTGTAAAGTATTTTATGAAAAAGGAAGAGGTTAAAAATATCCTGTAAGATTTTCAGTACATAATAAATTATGCTATACAATAATATATTATGTTAGTTTTGACAATAAGTTTCTTGATGTACTTACAAATGTATATATATTAATCCTGGAAGCTATTTATGAAATAATTGATGCATTAAGCCATAGATATGATGGAAATTTTGCCAGACTTTTATTTTATTTCTATTCTATACATTTTTCCAACCTCAAATTCATTCTTCTTTTCTTTTAATATGCAATAGAATAGGAATAAGGGTTCTGTTGGTTTTTTTTCCAATTTCAAATTAAAGATAGGGTGTAGTGATATTGCTATATCATCTGATCAATCTGTTCACATTATTGAGACTCTGCCTATCTTATCCTGATTGACAATAGTAACAGTTACACTGTATTACACCTAATCTTACCATCTCCTTTCACATCCTTCTCTTCATTATGGATGACTCCATGTGGCATGAATGGCTGGACTTTCTTCCCTCCCTGTGTAGTACCAACAGCCCATTCATATGCCATAACACCATGTAGGTGGCTCTCAAACCCTGTATACTGTACACTGACTGTGGACATGTCAGACTGGAAGTCAAGGTCGTCACCAATATCTGACATTATTGGAATTTCTGTTCTGTCTGCCCCATCAATCACTATGCCTTTATAATAAATATAGTACCAGATATTGCGAAATGTTTGTGTGTCTAATTTCTTTAAATTTATGCCTATGATATACATTAACCATAAAATAAACCTGGCATAAACATTTTGTTTTTTATTCAAATGAACTGTACAAGGCCATGAAATGCACTGTATATGCACAAATAATGGGTTCTCAACTAAAATTTCAAATTCTGCTGTACAGTTTTTTTCATACATTCCGTGAAATAACTAGGAAATAGCATATTTCAATGAATAGATGCTAATTTTGAAAAATTTGTCAAAGTTTTTCTCAATTTTTTAATTGCTTTCATATTTTGTATAAGGTAGCATCTTTTTATAGTACGTATGCTGTCTGTTTGAATTTATATGCTTCCATCATTAAAATTTGATGTAGATGCTGTTGTTAAAATAATAATGTACTGGAGCATCTTACTTTTACTGGGATGCTAGTTTTGCATATTTTTTTTTAATATTTTTTCTTTTTTTTTGGATGCTGGATTTCCTATAAATAAACCAGTAAAAGTCTGAAATGGTCTATATCTGTACTCGACTGTGCTAATTTTTACTCGACCAGTCTAAATTAGTCAGAATTTAATTAATATTACTCGACCCAGTCTTAACCATACTCGACTGTACTGATTTGTACTTAACCCTTATCTTTGCTATTGAAAATAGTCTGAACTATTACTCGACCAGTCTGAAACAGTCTTAACCCATTCTCGACCTGTACTCGACCAATACTTGACCAGCTCGCGACCTATTTTATCAGTCTGAACAATACTCGACCAGTCTGAACCATACTCGACCAAATAACCTCTACTTTTTACAATTTTAATTGTTAAAATAACTTTCTTTTTAACTGACATGACAACAGCCACAATAAAATAAAGATATATATATATATATATATATATATATAACAGATTTTTATATCCTTACATGATTCTCAGATTTATCAAATCGAGATAGTTAAAATTATCAATTTAAAGTTGTTAAATAAAAATATTTGTTTTACCTGAAAACCACACCTATACTGAGGGTAATAAAATCTTATTATGATGCTTTTTGTTAGGCGTGTGATTTTTTTTAAACATTTTTCTAAATTCCTAAATAAAAACTACATAGGTTTCATGTCGACATACAATAGTTATATAACTATCTTTTTAATGTAACAACAGCCAACAAAATCACTGACAATGTTTAACCTTAATATATCAGAAATATATCTATTATTATAATTTGGGATATATATATATATTTTAAAAAAGGGATGAAAAATTAAAGAAATTAATAAAATTTTTATTCTAATTAGGGGTAAACTATAAAGTAATACATCCTTCTTTGGGCACACTGATTAAAAAGATCACACTTGGTCAGAGAGTAATAAATTTTAATTAACATCCATTGAAAAATACGGTAAACGGACAGAAAGTCACAGGACAAAAAGTCACAGGACATAAAGTCACAAATTGGATAGGACAAAAAGTCACAGGACAAAAAGTCACAAATAATTTGTTGACAATTGTTTGTTGACAATTGTTTGAATATATAAGAGAAAGATCTTCAAATAATTTCTTTTTTTACATTTATTAATTTTTATGTTTAGGAAATTGTTCATAAGCTTTGATAAATGAAAAATTATTAAATCTTAATCATGCAAATTGTCGAACAAAATCGATTTGCCTATCAATGTTTGGCGAGGCACTAGTGGGAAATTCGAGAGGAACATCGGCCACCGTTTGCTGTGCGGACGACTTACCAGCCTACGTGAGTGACAGACCTAAAACTTTCGTGGTCAACACGGCCGACAACTGTAACCAGGGAAGAACTCATTGGATGTCCTTCCATTTTCCTATATCAGGATCACCTTTGTTTTTTAATCAATAGAAGGAGCACCAGAGACATACCAGCAACATTTAAGAAATGTTCTCATCGTAAACGGACCCCAGTACCGTTTTTATCGCTGTCCAATTCGACCCGACTTTTTGGAAACATGTGGACTATATATACTGCTCCTATTACGTGAAAATGAGATGTCAGAGTATCAAGATGGCAGTTGTACTGATTGACCTATTAACGGATGACCTCGATGCCAACGACGGAAAACTCACATCTTCGCTAGCCAAGGGTTACGATCATCTCCCTTTCTATCCACCCTTGGCAGATTAAGCAAAAAAATTTTGATGACAATGTTGCGCCACCTATCGGTTGATTAAAGTCACACCCATTCCGAATACACAATTCTTGACCCATGGTAGCACTTGAACCCTCTTCAGTGTGGAGGTTAAAACATTCTAACATTTGTGCAAGAAAAATACACAGGAACTACTATTTGTTGATTCAGAACATTTAAATTGTCATTAAATATCGTCGTATGTTTAGGAGGGGGAGGTAAAGACTTATTGCACAATCAGCACATGGCAATTGTTTGACCAGCACTTTCTACATTTACACGTGATCATGTTATAGGTGCTTTTGATTAGATTCAGCCAGTTAATTACGGCTGAGGGTGGAGAGGAGGGGAGTGGATCGTAACCCTTGGCTAGCGAAGATGTAAAACTCATTGCGTTATTTTCATTCTGATATTTTGATACACAATCGAACAGCTTTGGTGTAATATTGACCATAATAAAACTCATGCTCATTTCATGTTTTTTTACCTTTCCAAGTATTCCGTTTGTATAAACAACAAAAAAGTCACTGTGATAGATTCAGACAAATATTCTCATTGATCAGGTGAAATATGTGTCGGGAGTGTCAACTACTGGGCTTTTACCAATCGAAATTAAGATCAAAGAATGAATTAACATCGGATAAAGAGACATGCAAAATATTTTTCTTCACTTTTGTTTTTTTTCTTTCCGCTAACAGCGAGTAAAAAAGATGTTTTGTGGTTTTATAATGACAAAATTTAGATTGAAATGAGGTTTTATATTAGTATGTTTAATTCAGAAATATACAGGTCATGATATTGAAATATAAATATTGACTGTCATGTTGAATTACACGTTTGTGGGTTTGTTATATATAGATATAGGGGAAGATCATGCTGCTGCTGTTGTTGCTGCTATTGCTGCTATTGTTGCTATTGCTGCTGCTGCTGTTGCTGCTGTTGCTGCTGTTGCTGCTGTTGCTGTTGCTGATGTTGCTGTTGCTGATGTTGCTGCAAACGTTTGTTTTTAATATGTCTTCCAAGAGCATGGGTATACAATCTCCTCTCATTGGTTGGGTTTTCCGCTAAGGATCCTATATTTAACAAACAAACAAAACAAAACAAACCACCCAGTTTTATAAAACAGTAAGTGTGTAAAAACTTTCCAAAGGAATTTTGTGAACTTATCAACTTCAATGATACATACCAATGAAAGTGTTGCTTAACAACTCGTTGGCGTCGTTATGGTTAGCAGAATTTAATATTTCAAAAATCTTTATGTATTGTTAAAGGGACCACATGAAAGGACCATACAAAAGGTAGCTTATTTTTGGGAAATATTTTTACAAATTCAAATGTGACGTCACTTTGTGTTTTTTTTTTTAGAATTTCAAATGTGACGTCACTTTGTGCGTTGAGGCTTTGTCTAACTCGGCTGTGTATTTTTTTATGTGTTGGATTAAGTTGTTTTATGTAATGTATCCGTTTTTATTCTGTAGTTAGTCCTCACTTTGGTTTTATCATATATATCTATTATATAGTCATTTTATAAAATTTCCTGTTTGCAAAATTATAAATTATTCTAAATAATAAGGATGTTCTTGTCCCAGGCAGAAAACCCTGTCCGTGTTAGGCGCAACTTTTTGGAAGTTTTGGTCCTCGGTGCCCTTCAGCTTTGTACTTGTTTCGGCTTTCAAACTTTTTTCATCTGAGCGTCGCTGGTTGGTCTTGTGTGGACGAGACGCACGTCTGGTGTATTGAATTTTAAGCCTAGTACCTTTTCTTAGCTATTATTCGTGTGTTTCTTTGTCCTATATGTTCTCCCATTATTTGTATTGCGGTCCTGTCATGTGATGTTGTCGTTTTGGTGTTGTGTTTGACGTTGCCATAAAAGCGGGAGGTTTGGCATGCCACAAAACTGGGTTCAACCCACCATTTTTTTCTTAAAATGTCCTGTACCAAGTCAGGAAAATGGCCATTGTTATATTATAGTTCGTTTCTGTGTGTCTTACATTTTAATGTTGTGTTTTTGTTGTGTCGTTGTTCTCCTTTTATATTTGGTGCGTTTCCTTCAGTTTTAGTTTGTAACCCGGATTTGTTTTTATCTCTATCGATTTATGAGTTTTCGAACAGCGGTATACTACTGTTGCCTTTATTTATTCATTTTTATAATGGAAAAGATGACCAATTAAATCAGTTGATCTCAATAAATATACAGTGTTGTGACAGAATTTAATATTGAAAGTAAAAGTAGCCAGTTAAGAAAATTAGGGGCACCTGATAGCTTGATAATATCTTTGTATTTTTTGATAAATGTAGCATTTTCTGTAATCTGTTAATCCAATTAAACCGAATGTTAAAGATATTGATATTATTGTTTTTTCCTATTTCATTTTGTACCAAAATACCACAATATCTTTTAATTTTATCTATGAAATCTAAATTGACAAAGATTTGCACATAAAATAATATCCAAATTATGAAAATAAATAAAAACACAATTTGTTTTCTTTAAAATGACAAGGAGCTTAATCCTACATATATTTATTTAACAGCCAGTTTTATTCATAAAATCAACATTTAATATCAAATTTCTAAGTCTACATTTCAAATGTTAAAACGACTTATTTGGTTAACCATTAGATAGATTAACGACCATATTTTTTTTAACTTTCAATTATTATGAATCAACAGGATATTCAGACATATGCCCTCTTAATATATTTGAATTAAGAATTAGAATTAAACATTTACTGCAAAACAACACAGATATAAATAAATGTTCTAATGACTATGTATGTCA